TGCAGATGCTTGTGGTAAGGCTTCTTGTCTTGGCAAAACGCGTGGCGGTGATGCAGGTGCTTGTGGTAAGGCTTCTTGTCTTGGCAAAACGCGTGGCGGTGACGCAGGTGCTTGTGGTAAGGCTTCTTGTCTTGGCAAAACGCGTGGCGGTGACGCAGGTGCTTGTGGTAAGGCTCTTGTCTTGGCAAAACGCGTGGCGGTGACGCAGGTGCTTGTGGTAAGGTTCTTGTCTTGGCAAAACGCGTGGCGGTGATGCAGGTGCTTGTGGTAAGGCTTCTTGTCTTGGCAAAACGCGTGGCGGTGATGCAGGTGCTTGTGGTAAGGTTTCTTGTCTTGGCAAAACGAGTGGCGGTGACGCAGGTGCTTGTGGTAAGGTTTTTGTCTTGGCAAAACGCGTGGCGGTGACGCAGGTGCTTGTGGTAAGGTTATTGTCTTGGCAAAGCGCGTGGCGGTGATGCAGGTGCTTGTGGTAAGGTTATTGTCTTGGCAAAACGCGTGGCGGTGATGCAGGTGCTTGTGGTAAGGTTATTGTCTTGGCAAAACGCGTGGCGGTGATGCAGGTGCTTGTGGTAAGGTTATTGTCTTGTGGCAGGTTGTTGTCTTGGCAAAACGCGTGGCGGTGATGCAGGTGCTTGTGGTTTTGGCAAAACGCGTGGCGGTGACGCAGGTGCTTGTGGTTTTGGCAAAACGCGTGGCGGTGACGCAGGTGCTTGTGGCAAGGTTTTTGTGTTGGCAAAACGTGTGGCGGTGATGCAGGTGCTTGTGGTAAGGTTCTTGTCTTGGCAAAGCGCGTGGCGGTGACGCAGGTGCTTGTGGTTTTTGTCTTGGCAAAACGCGTGGCGGTGACGCAGGTGCTTGTGGTTTTGGCAAAACGCGTGGCGGTGATGCAGGTGCTTGTGGTAAGGCTTCTTGTCCTTGTCTTGGCAAAACGCGTGGCGGTCACGCAGGTGCTTGTGGTGAGGCTTCTTGTCTTGGCAAAACGCGTGGCGGTGACGCAGGTGCTTGTGGTAAGGTTTTTGTCTTGGCAAAACGCGTGGCGGTGACGCAGGTGCTTGTGGTAAGGTTTTTGTCTTGGCAAAACGCGTGGCGGTGATGCAGGTGCTTGTGGTAAGGTTATTGTCTTGGCAAAACGCGTGGCGGTGATGCAGGTGCTTGTGGTAAGGTTATTGTCTTGGCAAAACGCGTGGCGGTGATGCAGGTGCTTGTGGTAAGGTTTTTGTCTTGGCAAAACGCGTGGCGGTGACGCAGGTGCTTGTGGTTTTGGCAAAACGCGTGGCGGTGACGCAGGTGCTTGTGGTAAGGTTTTTGTCTTGGCAAAACGCGTGGCGGTGATGCAGGTTCTTGTGGTAAGGTTTTGTCTTGGCAAAGCGCGTGGCGGTGACGCAGGTGCTTGTGGTTTTTGTCTTGGCAAAACGCGTGGCGGTGACGCAGGTGCTTGTGTTTTTGGCAAAACGCGTGGCGGTGACGCAGGGTCTTGTGGTAAGGTTATTGTCTTGGCAAAACTCGTGGCGGTCACGCAGGTGCTTGTGGTAAGGTTTTTGTCTTGGCAAAACGCGTGGCGGTGATGCAGGTGCTTGTGGTAAGGTTTTTGTCTTGGCAAAACGCGTGGCGGTGATGCAGGTGCTTGTGGTAAGGTTATTGTCTTGGCAAAACGCGCGGCGGTGACGCAGGTGCTTGTGGTAAGGTTTTTGTCTTGGCAAAAAGCGCGGCGGTGACGCAGGTGCTTGTGGTAAGGTTATTCGCCTCGGCTTCCTGCCGAGAAGCGTCTGGAACAAGCAGACCCGGATCGGGCCTCCTTCCCCCTGGCGCGCGCAAGCGTTTACAATTGTCTTGGCAAAACGCGTGGCGGTGATGCAGGTGCTTGTGGTAAGGCTTCTTGTCTTGGCAAAACGCGCGCAGGTGCTTGTGGTAAGGTTTTTGTCTTGGCAAAACGCTTGGCGGTGATGCAGGTGCTTGTGGTAAGGTTATTGTCTTGGCAAAACGCGTGGCGGTGATGCAGGTGCTTGTGGTAAGGTTATTGTCTTGGCAAAACGCGTGGCGGTGATGCAGGTGCTTGTGGTAAGGTTATTGTCTTGGCAAAACGCGTGGCGGTGATGCAGGTGCTTGTAGTTTTGGCAAAACGCGTGGCGGTGATGCAGGTGCTTGTGGTAAGGTTTTTCTCTTGGCAAAACGCATGGCGGTGACGCAGGTGCTTGTGGTTTTTGTCTTGGCAAAACGCGCTGCGGTGACGCAGGTGCTTGTGGTAAGGTTGTTGTCTTGGCAAAACGCGGTGACACAGGTGCTTGTGGCATGGTTTTTGTCTTGGCAAAACGCGTGGTGGTGGCGCAGGTGCTTGTGGTAAGGTTTTTGTCTTGGCAAAACGCGTGGTGCAGGTGCTTGTGGTAAGGCTTCTTGTCTTGGCAAAACGCGTGGCGGTGACGCAGGTGCTTGTGGTTTTTTTCTTGGCAAACGCGTGGCGGTGACGCAGGTGCTTGTGGTTTTTGTCTTGGCAAAACGCGTGGCGGTGACGCAGGTGCTTGTGGTTTCTGCCTTTGGTGGCCGCGGTCGAAACGTGGCGGTCGCGGCCCTGCGAGAAAATTTGCGTGATGCAAAAGAAAAAGTTGAGATACTATCTGATGGTGACAGCTGAAAAAGAAAATCGAGCCCAACAACCCGCAACATATCCCGAACACCGCATGCGAGCGGTTCTGCCATGCAGGCGTGTCAATGACGGACGTAGTGAAGCCTGCCAAGAGGTATTCCTTTGTTATGAAAATAGTAAAACAATAGTTTTCCTCCTCTTCCATTTTTGATTTCGCCCGAACTAGGTTTTTTCGAATGAATCATAATTTTCTATAAGTATCAACCAAAAAAACTGGCGGACATATTGTTTGAATAAGTGGAATAACAAATTATTCTGCCCTGAACATCTTGAATGTTTTGCCCTGAATATTTTTGAATAAACTTAAGAAAAACAATGTGGCGAAAAATGATGTTCTGTATATACGCATATGTATATATATATATATATGTATATATATATATATGGTACCCCCCCCCCCCCCCATGTACCCACGCCTTTTTCCAGAATCTCAGCTTCTGCAGAAACGTGTGCATGGGTTCTTGGGATCGGGTGAGTGCCTCAAACTCCGTAATACGTATATAAGCAGACGAGCCCGAAATATACTTATTTGGTATTGCTTGCGATTTGTGATTTTGGGAGCTCAATTTTCAAAACAATTGAGGGGGACACTGCTTGCGACTTGTCATTTTGGGCGCTCAGTTTTCCAAAAAACTTGAGGGGGACACTGCTTGCGATTTTGTCAGTTTGGAAGGTCAGTTTTCCAAAAACTTAAGGGGGACACTGCTTGCGATTTGACATTTTGGGCGCTCAGTGTTCCAAAAACTTAAGGCTTAAGGCGGACACTGCTTGCGATTTGTCATTTTGGAAGCTCAGTTTCAAAAAACTTGAGGGGGACACTGTTTGCGATTCGTCATTTTGGAAGGTCAGCTTTCCACAAACTTAACGGGGACACTGCTTGCGATTTGACATTCTGGGCGCTTAGTTTTCCAACAACTGAAGGGGACACTGCTTGCGATTTCTCATTTTGGAAGCTCAGTTTTCCAAAAACTTAAGGGGGACACTGCTTGCGATTTCTCATTTTGGGAGCTCAGTTTTCCAAAAGCTTAAGGGGTACACTGCTTGCGGTTTTCCAAAAGCTTAAGGGGGACACTGCTTGCGATTTGTCATTTTGGAAGTTCAGTTTTCGGGACAGTGCTTGCGACTTGTCATTTTGGGAGCTCAGTTTTCCAAAAGCTTAAGGGCGAGCATTTTACTGCAAACTCTGAACCTTATTTACAAACCCGAAGCCCTGATCCCAGCGTCCTCAACCAGGAACCCCCTAAGCCCAAGGTTTTCAGCTACGGGCACGTTCGTCGAGTACCTTGACTCTCGTCGCCTCACCACGTGCCGGCCACTATAGTAGAGCCAAAGCCTCAACGACCCAGCGAAGGAACCGTACAAGTACCAATTAAGTTTCACGCTGGAGGGTTGTGAAGCTTAGCATTCTTCGCAGCAAATCAAGTGTACCAGTTGCACCAGCTTGTGAAGAATCCAGATTGGGCATCGCAGCCTTTTTTGTTTGGAATCAGCAATGCAAATGGTTCTATTAAGCCCAGGTTCTCTCAGAAAAACACTTGCTTCTCAGCCGTGCTCAGCTCCGCCACGGCGATCGGCATGCCATCCCGTCAGAGGAGTTGCAGCTATTGAGCAGGTTTAGGAGCTCCTGGAATTCTGCATGCACAACTGCTTGGCTGCTTCGCAGTTGCTGTCTGGTGTGTAAATTGTTGTGCATGCCTGCTGCTCACGCTTTGGTGGTTTCGTTTACAATTGCTTGATAGTTGTCTCGAAACGAGCCCGGAAAGGCTGCAGGACCAGAGGCAAATCCCTCTTCCTCTGCCGACCCTCAAAAACAAAGTCACTGCTCGACACAATCCGGCATGTCGCAGCCTTTTTCCACAGCACTCAGAACTGTCAGGTCACATGTTCCACAGCAGGGAAAACCAGGATGCCCCCGGTCCGCCCTGCGTCCCCGTCTCAAAGCCCCAAGCTTTGCAACCAGCTTAAGCATCTGGCCTCAATGAAGCCTGAGAAGTTGACGCAACTGTACCTATATGTAGTAGCGCTCTAGTTGGGCTTTTGGGCACAGAGACTCAAAGGTGAGAGCAGCTCTGCTCTGCTCTGCAGGGGCAGAGAAAAGAAATCGCGCATTTTTTTGTCATTGACAATTGGTTCCCATGGGTCGAGAAGAATCCTCCTCCAGCTTCCAGCTTAAGCTCAGCCTGATACACTCCAAACTACTTGAGCAATGTAACAATAAAGAAGATTCAGTCCACTGCACCAACATTCGCAACCAACATTTATCCAGTACCACAACGGAAGATGATTCTCGGAGCGAAAGACGGCAACAGAGACTGCAACAGCTGAAGTCTTGTGCCATCCTTCTTGTGGAAAGTCGCATTCAGCGCATTCCCAGTGCAGCGTAGGCCTCCGCCTCTTTGTCCTGAACAGCTCATGCCGCGAGCCACTTTTGGCGTTTGAGGCCGTTACATCAAGAATGCACTCAAGAAGGAACTACGCAAAAGCACGCCGTGTCTCACGTGGATTGATCACATGACTTTGCATGTCGGTCATGTGAAGCAGCTAGTACATCTTCGTACAATATATAAGTATAAGATATAAACATAAATATAAATATAAACAAATAACCACAAACACAAACATGCATATCAATATCAATAAATGTAGATCTATTTAATTTATTATTTTTATCAATGCCAAGCCATGCCTGTCGCCACACCAGGTGGAAGCACTGCTGTGACGTCTGGGCAGATGCAACGGTTCCACGAAGTTCCAGGCTCTGTGAACTTAGGAAGTGGCGGGGGTTCTCCGAGGAGCGTGCTGACCAGACAGCACAGTAACCTTGCGTCCCCTCGAACACAATCCCCGCGTTTAAGGCCTTGGAGGAGCCAGGTGCTGGAGGTGGAGCTTTGTAAGTTCTTTCTCGGAACTCATGCACAACAACTCAGACGCAGCGCCTGCAGCGCACTAAGGCAGAGCATTTTGACAAAGACATTGACCAAGTCCGGTGCATCAACAGCAGCTGTGACCGAGTCGTATCGAGCCTGCGACAAGCAGCCAAGCGGCAGATGGCCTTGTCCCAAACAAGAGCACCTTTTGAGCAGTTTGAAGATCAGAAGCCTTGTCAACCACGTCACAACGTCCAGCGAAAAACTCCTGACAGCAGTGGGCACGTACGAAAACTCGTTCTTAGTGACTTTCCCAGTGCGTCCTCCGTCCAAGAGGGGTCCAACCTCAAGACCTGTGATGTGGACCACCTCAGTCCGACTCAGTCCGACTCAGTCCAACTCCATTTCTAGCGGCATTGTCGAGTCGCACGAGTCGCACGAGTCGCAGCAGCGTCTCCAAGGTGAGGGCTGGTCCCCGCTATCCGTGCCGATGCCTAACCTCATGCACGCAATGCAATCCGCGACTGGATCACGTGAGTCCAGCGAGGGTCTGAGGGTGCCCAGACTATGCCCAGGATGCCCTCAAGCTGAGGCCATCGGCAAAGCGAACGCTTCGGCTTCTTTATCTTCTCGCCACAGCAAGAAGTAATCTAGGCGGGAGGCTGACATGCAAGAAAGCTGAAGAAACGCCTCAGCTGAAAGCCAGGTCAAACCTGGGCCAATGGGGTGGCCACTTCGCTTGGAGTTGGAGAAGACAACGCAGTAGCCCTCCGGCACAGCCTGCCACTCAAATGTTGTTCTACATCTTCTACATGACACTGGTGCAAGTTCCGTGGGACAGCGCCCCATGACCGGCAAAGACGAGATGCCGCTCTCAAGGGTCCCTGCTGAGAACCCGGCTGGTGCTCCACGGTTCAAGCTCTCAACCACCGATCCCACTGATGTGTACCTCAAAACATTCGCACAACCTTGCACTGCACTTCCGCTTCTCGCTCATGACAGTCTATGGCAGCGGCAGCTGGCAGAGCTGGCAGAGCTAGGGCTTGGGCACTGATCTGTCTAGCAGCTGCACTTTGCCCGAGAACACGTGCTCCGAGCCCTCAGGGCCGATCGTGTACCTGCAAGTGAACAAAAAGTCACCAGCGCGGCTACACCTGCAGCTACCTCCCGCCACCTGCAGCCGAGATCAAGTTTTGCTTTAACTGTCAGGATGTTTGTTTCTTTCTTCTTTTGCTCTTTATTTTGGGGGGGGGTGTGAATTGTAAGCGGGGTCCATATTCTGTTGAATCAGAAGCCTCTCTCTTGGAGAACTCTCTCAATTAACACGGAAACCAACATAGAATTCACTACACCTCAACTCATATTACGGGGTAGTTCAAGGGGGGGGGAGGAGGTGAAGATGAGAGATGAGGAGCAGTGTGGCGGTCACGTGAAGTCCACGGACCAGCGCCCAGGAGGCGATGCCGAAGGCGACGGCCCAGCGGGCGCCGGTGCCGGAGGCGCTGAGAGGAGAGCGGGGCTGAGACAGCGGAGAGGGAGGAAGGGAGAGAGAGAGAGAGAGAGCGAGAGAACACAGAGCGATGAGAGAGCAGTAAGCAGAGCAGTAAGCATCTCCTTTTGTCATCTCTTGCGAGTTGTCTTCATATGGCCTGGTGCTGGCACCGGTGCGGGCGCTGGTGGGTCCCAACCTCATTGTTATCACGGCTTCGACCCTTCGAAAAGAGCTTTTTCGAGAAAGCTAGCTTTGGAGTTTGGGGGTGGGGGGGGGGGGGGGGGGGGGGGGGGGGGGGGGGGGGTGGGGGGGGGGGGGGGGGGGGGGAGACCCCTTTCAATTTAAGTAAGCGTGCCCTTTCTTAAGATAGAGAGGCTTTGGGGGGGGGGGGGGGGGGGGGGGGGGGGGGGGGGGGGGGGGGTGGGGGGGGTCAACTACAGTAGGGGGGGGGGGGGGGGGGCATTCTCTTTTCTGAGCCCGCCGGCTGGACTCGCCTGTGGCGCAGTTGGCGTAGAAGGTCCGACCCTGGTCATCCTCGCCAGTACCACATGTGGAATAGACACAAATGGAATATACACACTTCCACGGGTAAATTTCTGACAATCCACTTCCAAGCCAAGAGACTTTTATGCAGCAAAGTCACCGAAGATTATCATTACTATTATGGGGTAGTATTCATTTTTGGGTCTGCACAGCGATGATGAACACAGGATTCGGTACCATGTACAGCTTGCACGATGAATGATGTCACAAACAGTATACCCATCGCAGGTACGTCAGGGTGATCAGCCCTGATATCCGCAGTTGCTATGGCCGCTTCGTTGGACCATCGCACATAGCAACTGGATGGTCCCCCTGCTGTGAATGTTCAAGTACTTCATGGACCGCAGTCACTAGTGGTAAATTTCTAGTTGCACACACACACACACATGATTTGGGCACCACACTTCTATTCGGCTCTTCTTCTCAAAGTTCGCTTCTTCTTCATCGTTTATGTTTCCCCCCCAGTGTTCTCCCAGTGTCTTCTCAAGACCTGGTCTCGGGATGTGGCTGGGGACGCCGAGACTGCTGAGCCCGCTGTGGAGGACGCAAGCACCCCGAGAAGGACTACGACTCCAACGTTTGAGCGCGGCCACACGGGCCTGACCCCCCCAAGGATGGTGATGGCGTCGGCGTCGACGAGGAGCCGGAGATGGGTCGTCGACTCAGTATTGAGAGTGTGGAGAGCATGGCTTCCGACTGCACGGTGTTTTCGGACTTCGGCGGGGACGGCCGTGATGGCCTGCAGTGGCAACCAGGTGGTGACAGGAGCGAGGCAGCTGCTAACAGCAGTCTCCTGTCGGGCGGGGGCACCTGAGCTTCCTCGGCTCAGGGTGCATGCCTGGCTGGCGTCGTCGAAGTGCGTGCTGGCTTGGAATTTGTTTTGGTGGCGCCGGGCTTTTCATGCTTGGCTACTTTTGGGCGGGCCCCGCAAAGCGGGCTCCTGCTTGTCAGTCGGACGGGTGGCGTCCAGACAACCTTCCTGGTCTCAGTCTGTCGTCATTTTCGTTAACAACAACAAACAACAACAACAACAACAACAACAACAACAACAACAACAACAACAACAACAACAACAACAACAACAACAACAACAACAACAACAACAACAACAACAACAACAACAACAACAACAACAACAACAACAACAACACAGCAACAGCAACACAACAGCAACAGCAACAGCAACAGCAACAGCAACAGCAACAGCAACAACAACAACAACAACAACAACAACAACAACAACAACAACAACAACAACAACAACAACAACAACAACAACAACAACGGGATGTCCTTTTGTGAGATCGCTCAGATTTCTCCGGCACTGCAGGCTTACATCTGGCTTATGTAGCTTGCTCAAGCGGGCAACAATCACCAGCCTGAACAGCTTGAAAATGAGTGGAGGTCCCACTGCGCGGCAACGCCAAACGTTTGGAGATGTTCTCGGGACAGGTCGGAGGCGTCTCGAAAACATCATCAAAAGCATGCTTTCCACATGGCCCGCACGATTTTTTCGGATTCCCAAGTCGTCAGCAAGGTTTGTGGGATCTTGTAGGTCTTGGAGTCTTGCAGGGTTGACCAGACTCTAACATGATGCCCTCAATGCCCTCAATGCTTTGAGGGAGAGAACGGAGAGAAGGACACGCAAACTCACACCGCGCACTCACACCATCTCACAGAGCACTCAGCTGCCTGGTGAGCTGTCCAGCCCTCCGGAAGCACGACAGAAGGAGCTGGAGGCTCCCAGCTGGTTTCGCCAGTCCTTGAGCATGGCCAGAATGGCCAGAACTGAAGAGGGTGACAATGTGACAATGTCACAACCACTTGCTGGGCTTCTGGCGAAACATTGGCATAGTACGTCCGGCCTGCTCTTGAAGCATGGGGGGGCATTCTCGCAGACTGAAGAGTTGTGTTGTGACGTGCGCGCCCCCCTCCCCCTTGCCTAAGTCAGTTTCAGAAACAAAGAGAGTAGCACAAAGAGAGCAGCACAAAGAGAGCTGACGTGGCGCCCGAACTGTCGTGTTAACTTTCGCTTTAACGCCTGGCTCGTTTTTCGACTTGTCACGAAGCCCCAAATTGACGCAAAAAACGTGTGCCCCGACCCAGAAATTGCCCAGAAAGGGACTCTTGTACTTCATTTGCTCCACATTCTTCGTGGGGACAAGGCCGTCTGAAGCTCTTTGAAACTCGCTGCTTATGGCACACCACTCTTGCTAGGCTAAGCTCCTCAGCTCCTGCTACTCTGCACGGCTGTTCATGTTCGGCTTGATGGTCGCGCGGCCAGTCAAATCATGGCGACAACCCGCAGATCTCCCAAATAAAAAACAGGGGAACACTCACCCTAACCGGTCTGATGGGGGCTGTAAGCAGCTCATGTCCTCTGGGCAGGAGACACGCAAAACCAAACAAGCGTAAACACTTGGAAAAAAAAGGCGGCAGTTAACATTAGGCGAATCTAGATCGAGACATTGAAAACATGGCGGACTGCGACCGTGGTTCAGGGATTTAAACTTGTGTGCAGGTGTTCTTCGTGGAATTGCTTTGTTGCCACCCGCCTAGCTGATGGAATGGTTTCAAGTTGGGCCCAAGAAGGCCCCCGCGGTGAAATGTTGGTATCTAGTTGAGCCCAAGAAGTCTCCTCCGGTGAAATGTTGGTTTCAAGTTGGGCCCAAAGTCAAAAAGGTGGTTCAACAGACGACAGACGAGACATACGAGCACACACTTTTGGGAGAGGAGTGCTGAATGATGTGCTGAAGGAATGATGTGTTGTTCTGTGGGCGGATCTCGATTGCTCTCGATCTTGCTCTCTGCACTCTCCCACCTTGATCGTCCTGGTAGGCTCCCCAGCCTTCGGGCAGCACGTCAGCCATCGCCCTCGGAGAGCGCCAAAGAAAAAGCCAGTTGAGAATGCTTTTAAGTGCGAGAGAGAGAGAGAGAGACAGAGAGAAAAACAAAAAAAAGAAAGAACTGTTTGAGAGTTGGTCAACAAACTTCTCTGTGAGTCTCAAGTATCCGCTCCGAGCCATTGCAGTGCTCTTCTACAAAACCTGTGCTCGCTCACGGACCCAAGACCCCCAAGACTCCCAAGACCCAAGCGTGCTCACTGCGTGCTCGGCGCCTCTCGTCTCAGGATGGCCAGGATGGCGAGGAAAGCGGGGGCGCTGCCACACCGGGCTTTGACAAACGGAGCTGAGGAAAAAAGCGAATAGTTTGCAGCTCCGACTTAAAAGGTTGACTACACTTTGTCTGGTACAAGCCGTGGGCGCAGCGGCGCACTTGCACCATGTGGGGATTCTCAGCGACTCTAACACATAATGCAACATTGACGATGCGCACAGCGGCAATAGCCGACAAAAGCTGGCAAAAGCACTCGCGGAGGGACACTTCTGCTAACAACAATAACAACCTTCTGCTCCGTGGGCAAGATGCAAAATGCGCACAGACCTTCGCGTATTGCTTAATCGCAATTCATGGGTGTGCCGACATGCAGAGCGCCATCGCCTCCCCGCTCCCGAGTCTCTGGCTGAATCTAGAGGCTTGTAGTTTGTTTCCGGTGAACCTTTCAATTCGGCAAACCTTCAATTCGCGGCATTCCGTCCTCTGATGCAATTCTGATGGTGAGCATTGCAAGAAGCGCTTGACACCGGATCGCACAGGCTTTGGTCCAGAAAGGCATGCACTTACCATGGTGCACGTTTGCATCCCGATTCTGCGCTTTTTCTCCTCGCATTCCGGGTCCGTGGGCATTGAGCATTTGCTAATGAATTGGCTATGGCGCTGGCGTGTGGGAGCTTCTCACGACGTGGTCTCGAACCTCACGGAGGAGCTGATACCTCAGAGCGTGTACTGTGAGAGAGTACTCTGAGTATGAGAAAGGCTACGCAAGCACAAGTGCAAATGTATGGCTAATAGCGGACACAAGAGGACTTGAGACTTAAGGGAGTATACTCGCAGAATTAAACTGTGACTTAGGCCCTGGCCTGCTCTACCTCTGCAAGACATTGCTTCATCTCCCTTCCTCTCTCTTCGTCTCTCCGTCTCTTCCTTCTCTCTCTCACTCCGGTGGTGATAAGGGTGAAAAGGCACCTGGGGCCCAGGCACAGAGACCAGGTCGGCTCAGCGCCAGCGACGCTTCGGCCGTCTTCCGAAGCATCCTGGAGCATCTGTTGCGAGATGGCTTCTTAGACAGGACCTTAGACTTACAGAACACCGAGATGAAAGCCACCTCGGACTCCTGTTCTGCCGTGTTCTGCTAAGGCAATTTTCTCCCTGTCTTGAACATCTTAGCATCTTAGCAGTCTTGACCCGACTTGCCTCTGCAAGCTCTCGTGCACTCTCTGGGAGGCCGCATCGAGGTCACCGAAGTCACCGAGGTCGAGGCCGTCGAATCGATCGAACTCACTCTGAGTTCGCTTCTTCTCTTGCTTCTGCAGTGGTGTGACCTTTGCGATCGTGCTTGGCTCAACTCCGCCGACTTCCTTGGAACCTTGCAAAGGCTGATCAGAATCTGTTGTGACCCTGTTCTGTCCCGTGGGCACTCGCTGTTACCCTGTATCGTAGCATGTCCCGGCCTGATATCAAGAACTTAAGCTCTGAAAGGATCGTTGGAAAACATGTGCGTGAGCCACCAGCTGGCTAGAAACCAAGATGTGGCACCATCCTAAAACGAAAAGGTCAATGGTTCTTGCTCCCGATAAAGACCGTGGCGGAATAAGGGTTGCAAGTGTCGGGCTTGCAAGAACAATGTGCTTTTGTTCAGCTACGCCTGGCCGTTTCCGATGCTGCAAGGACAGCGATCGCAACAACACGAACGCAACTGAAGGCAGCCTGGAAGCTTTCTGCAGTGGTACCGTCTGCTCCAGCCAGGTAGGCACAGCGGAGCAAAGCCCAAAGGTCTCCGCCCTCTTTGAGCTTTTGCGTTGCCGTCTTGACCGACATGGCATCAATGGCATCCTCCTTCTGGTGTTTCGAACGGCTCGTGTTCGGCCAGCTCGCATCTGAGAACACGCAACAGCGCACAGGACATAGGAACACTGGGAAAGGACCCGGAAGATGATGGACTCATGACTGTTTGGGGACCATCTCATGCCGTCTCGGCCTTCGGCGTGTTCTGGGCTCAGGCTGCAAGGACGATGGTCCCTGCAGACACACCGTGCTGGTCGTGGCACCTCCAGTGGAAGCGACGTGATGTGTGCAGCATCGTGTGGCCTAAGCATCGCTCAAGAAATTATGCGTGATGTCAGCAAATTCACGCGAACATCTATACATACAGGGCCAGCTCAACAGCACAGCATGGCATGGAATCAGTCGAAGTCATGGCACATCGGCATGGGCCCATGCTAAAGCCACCGTGCGCGCGTGGTCTGCATGTGCCGACGGCCAGTGGATTTGGCCGTCCGTTCCAATGTAGCCTGACCGACATTTCCCACCTCTCTGGAATGTAATGCAGTGGCAGATCTACTGTCCAGGGCTTTGGCCGTAATTCTTGCACCAGTCAGCAGTTGACACCTGCCACAGTGCATTTATGCTCTGAAAAAAATAAGGGCATTATGCGACTCTTCTCAACAAACCCCAACTCATGCCTTGGCAGAGGCATGCATGGCTCGCGGTGGCGTGCTGGCTCGCGGCGAGGCTGCTTCGCGAGTCCAAGATGCCCAGTCGACATGGCCTTCACAGATCACAAACGCTACGACTGGGCAAGGTATCTCAGGCATTTCGCAGGCGGCGCTTGAGTGCCAGGCCGTTGTACTTAGCCGTGCGCATCTTGAGCAACAGCTTGTCCTCCGATGGGCCGGCTGTCGGCCAGCCGACATACCTCTCCAAATATTTTCGCTACATCGCGCTACCCTCATGTTTGAGGTCAGGTCTGAGTCGTGGGTCACATAGGTAGGCCAGCATCCGTTCCCACGCAGCAGCAACTGCCGCCGTTCCACCTGCCAGCTGCTGCATCATGAGACACTTGCATGGAGGAAATGAAGTGTAGATAGTGCAGGTTCCAACGGTCGAGACGTCATTTCAGCCGCTGCATACGCAAGGCGCACGAAACAATACCAAGAGTGTCCGGCAATTGGGGCGGCAAGAACCAGTTCCCCGCGCGGAGGAAGTTGAGCGGAAGCAAAAGCACAAAAACACAATAGCACAAGATGTCAGATGATGGCCTGACTGAAGTGCCCTCAGAAAGCACAACGCCGTCAACCGAGGGCGCCGGCAATTTCTGGTGTCCCAAAAGCATTCACAAGCTGCACTTGAGCTTCAGACCATCAGGGACAGCAAAGTCAGGCCCTAGTAAGAACATGAATCCAAGGTACCAGGACAATTCTTGTTGATGAACGGCGTGCTGTCGTGCTTCAGTCCACCTGAACTTCCGCTTCTTCGCTGGGAGACGAATGAGGCAAGAAAAGGTGCCTCCTCGGCACAGTCATGGCGTCAACCTGGAAGCGAGCCAGCAGCTGCGGCCACTCACTTCAGCACCGTATTTCACTCACCCTACACGTAGCGAATTCAGGGGATCGGAGACCAGGTTGCCACTGTTCGCTTGTGCGCAATTTGACCACCCCAGACCCTTGCGACCTGTCTCTTCATCGCCTTTAGGGTTCATTGAGCGCTTTGCTTCTTGTCACAGGCCGAATCTGTACTTCACCACACCACGCCGACCACGCCTTACCATCAGCCGCATCTGCAGCGACACCACTTGTATCCAAGCTTCGAACAACACCTTTCCAGTGCTTGTGTCTGGGCAGGCTGAGTGTTTGCAGCGCAACGTCATCCGATCGACCTTGCGAATCGGATGGATTACAGTGATGTGCGATCGCATCTCTTCGCGTCGCACAGTCGGAGGATTGCCACTAGGATGCACTCTCACCCAGCTAGGCCTTTACATGCCGAATCGCCCACACGATTTTGTGTGGTGCAAACTTCCGCTCGGTGAACAGGGCAGCTCTGTTGAATTCGTCACGATGCAGCTCGGATCGTTGTTGGCCTCGGCAGGCACCGCGCAGTATGCATCGCATGAATTCTCATCCCCACTGCATGTGCCTGTCAACAACCAGCAGTCAGAAGGCCCGGCAGCCAAGGGGGTCCCACTGCTCGTACTGCTCGTGTGCAGCCTGCAGTTCGCAGATCGGGACATGCTAAGCCTTCGACGTCTAAAGGATTGAAACAAGTTTTTGGACCCTTGAAGCACTTGTCCTGCCAGAGCAGATTGCGCCGTCACCAGCATCGGAAGGAAAAGAACCAAGACCTGGCTAGAAGAGGAACTGTCAGGTGACTACAAAATTCGTCCACGCTTACCGTGTCAATCACCCATGCTACTCCATTGCTGTACTACTCCTAGGGGATTCATGTCTTGGGAGTACAGTAGCATAGGGCACAGCATGGGGGATTCCGCGGTCCGTGCATGTTTGTGCAAGTTGCGGTCGGTCGGTGGTCTATTTAAGTTGAGGGCTCACAAGTTCCGTGTCTTGTCAGTGATAGCTACTAGCAGGCATGATGGGGTACTCAGTGTTAGGTTAAGAATCGACTATTTGATCGGATGCAGGTGAGGAGCGCGCACGCGTGCGTCGCATCGTGTCATGTTGGGGTGAGCGCGCAGGTTCGCTTGCGCACAGGGTTGTGGGAAGCTCAGGGAATAGGAGGTTGTGCGTTGGAGGCGCATGGAATGCGAGGCGCGGCGCATGGGAGGGCCATGGTTGCCTTGGCCCTGAAGATTCGCAGGCGGCGGCACTTCCACTGCATTTATCATGAATCAGATAGCCCATGCTCACCTCCTGCAAGTCCTCCTCGTGTTACCTAATCCTAGACCACCCCTACTCCTGTAGCCGACTCGTGTAGCCAACCCTGAAATGCCTCAAAACCTCGATGGCCGCTCCTTCCCGGAAACCCATCAAAAACAAACTTTTGCCAATCAAAAAAGCAAGTCAACGCAATCAAGAAACTATCAAAAAACACTAGAAGAGTGATGGCCCGAAAGCATCGATTTGCCGTGCATTGACTCTATGCACTTCATTCTATGCACTCGAACTGCATGCACTTGAACAACTGTATGCACTTATATGGTTGTATACTCTGTGCACTGCACTTCTCTGCACTTCAAATGCGTGGCATTCACATTCGAATCCCTCGATATTTGCGAGATTTTGCGAGCGACTCCCGGAGTTCGAGTACAACGATATTTGCGAGGGTTTCGACACCCCGGAATTCGAGTCCCACGACATTTGCGAGGTTTTCGAGGCCCCGGAATTCGAGTCCCACGATATTTGCGAGGTTTTCGAGGAATTCGAGTCCCTGGTTTCGACATCCCGGAATTCGAGTCGGAATTCGAGTCCCACGAGTTACCATGCTATTTGCGGTGTTTTCAAGCGCCCAGATGTCCGTTACCACGCTATTTGCGGTGTTTTCAAGCGCCCAGATGTCCGTTACCATGCTATTTGCGGTGTTTTCAAGCGCCCAGATGTCCGTTACCACGCTATTTGCGGTGTTTTCAAGCGCCCAGATGTCCGTTACCATGCTATTTGCGGTGTTTTCAGGCGCCCTGGGCGTTCGCGGCGTACTACGTTTGTACTACAAAAGTCGACTTTCCAGCCCGGAAGCTCCGGGCGTCCCCGGCGCACTACGTTTGTACTTCAAAAGTCGACTTTCCAGCCACTGAAGCTCCGGGCGTCCGTGGCGTACTGCGTTTGCACAAGTCGACTTTCCAGCCACGGAAGCTCCGGGCGTCCGCAGCGTCCTACATTTGTACTACAAACGTCGACTTCCAGCCACGGAAGTCCCCAGCGTACTACGTCTGTACTACAATTAAAAGTCGGAAAAAACGCAAAAACACCACGGTTTTGGCACCGCGACCACGCCAAAACCCGCAGAGGGGTTACTTTTGTATGTCACAAAAAAAACGCAAAAACACGACGGTTTTTGCACCGCGACCACGCGAAAACCCGCAGAGGGGTCACGATTGTATGTCAAAAAACGCAAAAACACGACGGTTTTGGCACCGCGCCAACGCCGAAACCCGCAGAGGGTTGACGCGGACACGAAAAAATGCAAAAACGACGGTTTTAGCACCGCGACCACGCCGAAACCCGCAGAGGGTTGTCCGCGCACAGAAAGAAGCGTAAGAAAACGACGGTTTAAGCACCGCGACCACGCCAAAACCCGCAGAGGGTTGCGCGGCGTCAACCCAGCCCGCCGCCTTGGAAAGAGTAATTTTAATTAAGAAATGTAGGACTGGGTACGAAGGTCTACTAAATTCTACTAAAATCTCGTAAATTCTATGAAATTGTACTAAAATTGTGAATTGTACTCTATGCACTTCACTCTATGCGCTTAACTCTGTGCACTTCACTCGATGTACTTAACTCTATGCACTTGACTCTATGCACTTCACTCTATGCACTTCACTCTATGCACTTCACTCTATGCACTTCACTCTATGCACTTCACTCAATGCACTTCACTCTATGCACTTAACTCTATGCACTTCACTCTATGGACTTAACTCTATGCACTTGACTCCATGCACTTCAGTCTATGTTGTTGGGTCAGAGGGCTCCGCACGGAAGAACCCTTCGCAATGCTTTCGGGAACAAACACACCCAATCAAAAAAAACCTCTTTTGGGACTTACAAGCAAACAACTTTTATCCAATCAAAAAAAACTCTTTTCGTACTACAAGCAAATTACAAGCTCCGGGAAACTGCCTCCCCGATCAAAACACTTTGTATTCAATCAAAAAACTTTTTCCTGACATGGATACCTTCCGCAAGCACGGGATCGCCAAATGCCTAACTGGCCTAACTGTCATCGCTTTTGAACGGCCGTCCTTTGTCAAATACGTGACCCCATTTGCAAACCTACAAACATGCGGAAACTTGGCTCTCGGAAGGCTTACCGCGGTCATATTGTCGCCGCCCAATCCGTCCGTGAGCCGCAGATCTGGCGACAGACACTGGTCCAGCCTCAGGTTACACAGGAACTCGTGACTCGTGATGCTAGAGTGTTTGGTATGATGACGCAATGCTGAGCCCAAAACAAGCGGCAAAGAAGTTCCGACAGGCGCAGCTGGCCTGAAGCCAGCCGCGGCGCCCAGCCTCTCACAGGAACATGCAAAACGTGCAACAACGCGCAACAACGCGCAACAACGCGCAACACTCCCCCGTATTAACCGGTGAATGACACTTGAGTTCTGAAATTCGGGTCCGTTCATTGGCTCTCATGCACTGCTTGGGTCCGAGCTGTTTCTATCTCCCAACTCCTGAAAGAAGGCAAAGGATGTGAATGGGCTGACGTCCACATTTAGGGGACACTACTGTGTCAGAGTAGGCAGTTTCTCTGCTGAAATGCAAAAGGCTGCCACTTCCATCCAGTCTACTTCTCTCGGCACTTGAAAGGCGCTGCTAGGTAGGGCTCATTCCCTGACTGAAGCCGAGGTGTTCTCGCGCACTGGGACCCTAGAACGTCTTTGCGCCCTACCCTAATGTTGTACGAAGTTAGCTCAACAATGCTTAACATCACCTGTGCCTGTACTGTACAAACCGGGCAACCTTGTTCACTCGTCGTTTGGCACATCGGGTCGTGTTTGATATCCTTCGTTGTGCATCCTGCAAGCATGCATCATACACGCCGTAGAACTTCTCTGCTATCCACACGACTCTTGTCGAGGTAGAAGCTCACCGGTACTGAAGCTTGCTATCCACACTACTCTTGTCGAGGTAGAAGCTCACGGGTACTGAAGCTTCACCTGAGCACTGAAGTAGTCTGCAGTTTCCACGAGCAATCCAAGCTGAGCATCGCCCTTGCTTGCCCTTGCCTTTGGGTTTCCACTTGGGTTGAGCTAACGCCTGTAGGATGGACCTCTCCCCAATCGTTGAATTTCCTTTGTAGCTATCTGCATTCTGTCAATGATCTATTGCGGTTGGCTCGCGGCAGCGTAATCGGCCCATTCTTCCCAAACCATGTCTTTTGGGCCATCTGAGGAGTGCCGGTTGATCTGCGGGTGCCGTGCAAGTTTGCCTCGAAACACATGAATCCTTTCCACCCCGGTTTTTTCAAAGCCGCGCAAGCTTGCTTCGGGGTTCTCGGTGGGCATGGGCACTCCAGGCGAGGCTTCTTTGGGGTGGTGACGGGGACCAACTTCAAACCTACTGTATGTAACACCGGGGTAGTGAACAAACATCTTTGCTTCACTCGGCTACCGATGTGGGAGCCATCCTTTTTCGGACAATTCAGTGTGCGTATATGTGCGCATCTGCGTAATGGGCGTAATTGCGGCGTAATGTAAAAACCTTCCTCTCTCCATGAGTTGTTATTTCTTTTCCGCTCCTTTCGCTCCTTGTTAAACGCTTTCGGCACAACCGTTGGAGATGAGAAACGCGCCAGGTAACTCCCTACCAGCACATACATGGCTCGTTTCGCACGCTCAGGAATCCAGAGCAGCATAAACAATGCCAAGCACAGTGTACGCATACCGCGAAGCCCGTGTAACAGCGGTCTTTGCGGAGGAAGTCCACGGCAGCCTGGCTGCTGAGAACGTCCCAAACCTGAAGCTTGGGTTGAGCGGTTCCAAGCGGTTCCAAGCGGTTCCAAGCGGTCCCGCCCCGAGCACAAGGACTGCTCAGCTCACGGCCCCGTCGCAAGCCAACAGCATGAATTCATCCTGAGGCTGCCTGAAGATGGGCTTGCTCTGAGGCCCAAACATGCCCAAACCCTACTTAAGATGGAGAACTGCTTTGCCGCTTTGCACGATGCTCCGTACCAAAAGTTGTGGAGCATGTGGCCTAGCGACCACACGCACATCGGGGCTTGCGGTTACCTCGGTTCGCAGATTCGTATTGTCAGACTCTCCATGATTCATCATGATTCCATTCCCAGCATGCTTGGTGCTCTTCCGCCGTTTTTCTGTGACGAGCCGCGATCTGACGCTCCGGAGGAAGCCGGCGATCCTTGTATTCCAGGTCCCCAACCGCCTCGAGACGAAAGGCTGCACAAAGTCAGCAGAAACAGCAACGCTGCGCCTACGCCCATCCCTTCGGCAATTGGCGATTCGTGCGGCCAGGTGGCCCGCGACAAGCTCAGGTCCCCGTTCACCTGCTATCAATTGCCATACAGTTCGGACAAGTTCGCACACAGAGCCTTGAGGCTTAATTCTGTTGCAGTGAGGAACACACGCGCGCTGCATAATTGCTCTTGCGGCAGGCGCGCACCCTGAGAATGGAGCCACCTTCAATCCAGCCGCCTCTCAAGCGATGGGCAGACCACTACAATCACTACAAGCAGGCGTCGACCCCAGGTTCGAGTGAACAGCGAACCTGCAGATTCAATGCGTGCACGCTCGTTCGGGAGGTCGGGCTTGTGGTCCTCCAAGTTGCAAGGGCTGTGAGCACCCGTGAGCACATCAGGCACAGCCCATTCTTCCTTTGGGGCGGCTTTAGAGTCGTCTTTCTTAAGCCCCTCCCCCCCCCACAGCCGCAACATTTTTGGGAGTCCTGGGAAAGATCCAGGGCCTGGCCATTGCGGCAGAGCACTGCGCGGCTGTCACCGGCATTGGCCACGATGAGAGAAGTGGGCGTCACACAGCTGAGCACCTCAATACACAAAAACTACAAAACGATTGGGACAATGAATGTGCCCACTATACCTCCTACAAGACCTGATTATGCTAAAGCTTAGACAAAGATGATGTCACCGCAAGCCATTGCAAGCACGCCAGCCGCACCACTGTGCAGCCCATGCCTTCAGCTGTTTGGCGGCGTGACCTGCAAGTCGCTAAACATTGTCAACACTTGAGTCATTGAGCGAAGTTCGCTTTTTGATTGCGATTTGAGCAACACGGAAAAAGGCCACGGGCGAAAGTGCCTGGCAGATTTGGCGAGCGCCGACAACCTCTTTGGACTTGCGGCAACTGGTGCAAAAGGCACTGGATGAGCCGAGTGAACCCCATGCTCCGGCCCTCGCCTGCGGAGCTCCTTCAATCCCTCCGGTTCCTGTCGGCAACCCATCTGACCCCTCGATGCTTTGCAGGTTCGCTCCATTTCCCGATCTCGCCTGCAGCAGCTCATCCATCTCGACCTCAGCTTGGATGCTTGAGTCGGTCGCTGGCAAAAGGACGGGTTTTCTTGTTGGCTGCCCTTTTCCACTCGTTGAGGGTTTTCAAAGAGCGTGGGGGGCTTGAATCAGCCTGACCCCGTTCGTGAAAGTAGCGAGGCTGCATGAAGCTGTAGGAGCCGCCGCATTGTGACGCCGCATTGTTCGATGACGGTGACGCCGACTTGTGGCCGGGGACGCTGAACTCTACGGCGCGAAGCCGACTTACCCGCAGCTGACGCAGAAGTGTGAAGTCAGACTGAGAAGTCAGTGAAGCCTGTTCCTGACGCCGCGGCTCCAACAGGATGGCTTGGCCGGAGCCATCATTTCTGACGACCAAAACGTGCGCTTGCAGGACTTGCTCGGTATCGCTTGTTAATTCTCGTCGACGGTCTTCACTGCCTGTGTAAACAGGCTTACAGAGGTGTGGAATCGCTTCGTTTCAAGCGCTCACGACGGGCTTCTTGCCCTTCCCGAACGGCGACTGACCGACAATTTCTTGGCAAATCAGGGGTCACGTACGCACTTCTTGTATCATGTCAGTCCACAGGGTTCTGACCCGAATACGGGTCTGGAGCAATTCAGATCTCGAAGGTTGCAGCAGCGGCGCAACTTGTGCAGATGAGGAAGCCAAGCGGCGAAGGACTGGGCCATAGCGGCGGCCTCAAAACAGAGGGCACTCGGCAGCTGACCGGTGGAAAGTGTTCCATGGTTAGGCCGTGGCCGGGTCAGCACTCGACCTGCAGCCAGTGTGAGAAGTCGAACATACTGAATTCGCCCAGCATTTCGCCCATGAGAACAGCCCCAAACTTCCATTCCATCTCGCTTTGTTCGCTTGCAAGAAATGCAATACTACAAGGGCTCTTTTCTCCTCTTTCTACAATATCCTCTTCGTCCTTTTGGTTTCAGGCCCGTGGATCTTTTGCCTGCATTCCTGCACCTTAAGAATTTCTTCATCCTCCAGTACGTTCTTTGCTCAGAGGAGATTCACATTCACCCCAGCGAACCTGATTTAGGAACGCGTGTTCGTCACTCGCTTCTCTGACTCATTCACACACACTAAGAATACGGCATGAGTGAACGAATAGAATGAGCATGTGAACGATCGCGAGTGAGCGCACAAAGACCCGACTATTCTACTGTATTTTAGTTGGTTGATGAGGAAGCGCATGAGATCCGCCAAAATGTGCTGAGTGGTTGGGGTGCAGCAGTCGCTGGAATTTCGAAGTGCCTCACTGCGATGGCGCTCGGCAGATGTCCTCAGAAAAAAATCACAACAAAGAAAAGAGAACTTTTTAACAGTTCGGGCGCTCTCTGGCTGCTAGGGCCCGCGGCTCTCGCAGAACTTGGCCACCTGCGGAAACCGTCTGAAAAGGCAGTTTACAACAGGCGCACAACCCGCTCACATCAGCTCACGTCCGCTGGCACAGTATCTGGAGTCGACGCCTGAAAGCCGCCGTGGCCGTCCATGACCCCAAAGAGGGAGATGCGGTCCCAGCCCAGGTCGACGTCGAGCTTGCAATTCTCGGACCTTTGAGCATTGCATTTCGGGCATCTCGTGAGATTTCGTGGCATTTCGTGCATTCGCAACCTCTCACAACGTGCTGTGCACCGGGTTGTCCACACAACCGCCTCTCTCAAAGACGGGAGCACGAGGTGCGCGTCTTCCATGGACTCCCGCCAGCCCTGCAATGGGAAGATCAAGCGATGGAGCAAACTAGGCACGGCCGAAAAGTTGGACCTGCAGATCAGCCAACGAAAGCGACTCCTCCCCCTCCTCCCCCTCCTCCCCCTCCTCCCGCTCCTCCCGCTCCTCCCCCTCCTCCCCCTCCTCCCCTCCTCCCCCTCCTCCCCCTCCTCCCCCTCCTCCCCCTCCTCCCTCCCCCTTCTCCTCTTCCGCTTCCTCTTCCTCCTCCACCGTGGCGTGCCCGATGCTTCTCTTTTTCATGGCTTGCCACACCTTCGAACTCATGTCCACTAAGCATCTCGCCTTTGGGCCTTTGGGGTTACACATATGCATGCTATGATCAGTCGCGGGGCACCCCTTCCCAAGTTGGGTGCCAACGGGCCGGGGATGACTCAACAGACTTTACCGTTTCTCCGTATTTCACAAGCTAGGCATCTCACAAGCTTTGCTCTTTCTCTGGTGGTCAGGGCTTTCAGAGCAGCATGTGGCGCGCCAGTGCCGCCAGTGCCGCCGGTGTCTAATTGTACGCAGGTCAACCCAAACAGTGAGAGACCGCACCATGCACATCACCGTGAGCTGAGCCGTTCTGCGTTGCGGACCCTCACCTCCTGGATTCCTAGCAGGAAGAGCAGGCGGTGTGTGAGTCACACCGACATTACGTCAAAGATGAGTCCCCTACTTTTTCTGAGCCCGCGCTGCTGTAATGGCCCCCCATACGGCTTCTAGGATAGGCCGATAGGCTCCCACAGCAGCGCTCGCCTGCATCTCGGCGCTCCCCCAAGCCATCAGGCGACCCGCACCATCGCCTCGATTTGAGCGCAGAGCAGAGTGTGGAGACGACGGAGCAGCAAAACGCACGATATGAACGTGCATCGACGTGCACTTACAAGCCCATGAGTGGAGATGGAGACTCTGAAAATTCAAAGATCACAGAGCAAACTGGCAAAACTGATGCTTGAGAGAAATCCGATCCAAGGAGCTGCAAGTCTTTTGGGTCACTGGACCACGCACATTGCCCCAGTCCTTTCAGTCAGAGAATGAGGTGGAAGTGGCAGTGCTGAGCCTACTGCACTTGCTGCACGGCTTCTTACCATTCTGACCTCAACTGAATCCTCGTCCCCGCGGAGGCACACACCTTTCGTCACTTTCGTCTTAAGTCTGATTCGGTTCCGCTTACGAGTCTGAACTCCCTCTGCGCTCAGCATGCATGCTGCAGCGGCAACGACCCCCCGAGTGCACAAGGCCTGCTTTGCCACCCATGTTAGGGCGTCTTCAGCTTCCAATCGCTACACCGTGTGTGGAAACGGTTTATGAGCTTTCGTGGCTCTAGTTTGCACTTTGTTCATGTTCTGAGTACCTCTTCCCATGCGCTCGCGTTGTCCAGTGTGCCTAAGTTCGAATTGTCCACCATCCACTGTCTCCGGGGTCATGTGCTTTGGCAGCCGAGCTACTCAAAGGCAAGAGTGCCTGTCTCAACATTGACGTGCTAAGACGGCTAAGACTGCTCAGACTGGACAACTCTGATGCGACTAGTGCCTCACGTCTTTCTCGCCCTGAAGCTGGCCGCACGGATCCGGCAAGGCGGCACGATGCAGCACGGACAACATGGCAGATGGCAGCTTTGGCCCCTCTGCCTACACAACGCCCATTGCGAGTAGTGAGAATTTACCGAATGGCAAAGATTGCTTCACAAGCAACGGCGTCAAGCGACATCAAGCGCTACTTCCACTGCTTGCCACGGAGCGAGAGCGAGAGCAGAGAGGACACGCTGTTCCGGGCGCGGTCTAAGGGCCGCGACCAGGTGATCCCCCCAACGAAATCCACGTCCTCGCCAGCCTCAATCATACAACATGCCTGTTCCAGAACTCCCCCGATAGGACCGTGAACCCCGAAGACATTCACTAAGCCGGTGTATACACGGACGACGCATGGTGCTGGAACTTCGACCTCCTCGTTTGGCTTCACCAGTCTGCCAGGCCAACGCAGGCGCGCAATGCCCTGCGAGAGTGGGAGCCACAAGCTGCTGGTCCAGTGCTGTCGCTGACAGACGCAGAGCACCACCTCAGTCTCTGTCGAGTTCCGGAAGAGCTCACTTGGCTCGCTTGGCTTGCTTGGCTTCCCTCTACTTGGGGACTTTGTTGGTGACTTGGCGGAGCTCGGCGTGATGATCGCAGGTGGTGCCGTGGCCCTCAAGACGTAGTGGCCCTGCACGTCCGTCCACGTCCCCAACTCAGTCTCAAATGGCGCGAAGATCTTGACAGAATAAGGAGGCTGGGTCCCCAAGTCGATGTCACAGCCCCGTTTCACAACAGAGCCCTTTGGGAGCAAGCCACCCCTCGGCACAAACCGAACATTGTCATTGGCTTCGAAGCTCAGGACCTTGACATCCATGCAGCATTGGTTGCGTATCAAAGCACTGTGTTCTGTGTGTTCTGTGTGTTCTGAGGACTCCTTCAACAGCACATAGCTGCGAGGATCCTGTTTGGAGAGCACTCGGACCACCATGACGAAGAAAACGGCGAGGACCACGATCACCATAACGGTGATAAGCCACTCAAAAGACACCGTTCCATCCCAAAGAGTCTTGACAAAGTGGCAAACGAGGGCGATAGCAGCTACGATTGCGAGCGCCTGCAACTGTTGGAAAACACCGACCGTCAAGAATATTCCAACGAAGCTGAAGAAAGCAGCCCACTGACCACGAGCAATCAGGTTCCCACCCAATAAAGCTAGCACCGCAACCACCACTTTCGTGGTGGCTTCCCTGTCTCCTCCCGACAGTAGCTCGAAGAGATCATTGGCACGTCGAACGCGAGACAGGCTTGGTGCACATTCTGCGTGAACCGTTTCGAAAATGAACTGATCTGGCTGAAACAGGTCTCGCTCGGAGCGAACGTCATACCAAATGAGATGGTAATCGCCGTGTGACGTCATAGAATGTCATAGATGCTTCCTTCTCTGTGCCAAGACATGACCAACCAAAGCGGCACATGAGTGCCCTTGCATCTTGGAACAATGTTTCGCAGCTGTGCCAAAGATGCAAAGATGAATCATGCGAAATGAAAACCTTTACATTTGCACACTTTGCTCTGTCGCACATGACCATGCGATCGCACGAAGCCTTGAGCCGTGCGGACGCAGCACAAGTGCCAGAGCAAAGGGCAACTGCTCCAGGGTAACTAGCCAAGAGGGTGCTCCTTTCCCAACTTACCACACCACACTTGTTGTGCGCTTGGCGTGCTAAGCACGCACTTTCTCAGGGCGGATGCCTTGCCGAGCACTGGGTCTGCAGAGTTCCGCGTCGGGGTGTCAAAACTTTGCATCATGCAGTTGCACAATCCTCGCAGGCAACTGAGAAAGTAATGAGATCGTATCTCTTTGCCTCTACTGAAGCCCACAAACGCCCGGACCCGGAAAACCGCACGTGCAGACGAATTTGATGTGAACAAATTGAAAGGGAACAGGACCGAATGAACATGCAATAGAGGGTCTGAAGAGAAGGGAAACAAACACAATCGCTCTGTGTTCCTCTGGATTCCTCAGCTAAGACTCAGAAAACCCGCACTCAGAATACAGCACCTGGAAACAACCGAAAAAACAGGCTTTTGGTTCTGTGGAACAGAACCCGGACCAACCTTTGATCATTTCGGGCGAGCAGGAAGAGAACTCGATGGTTGTGGCTGCGCAAAAATCTGAGCCTCTCAGCTTGTTGTGGCTGGGCAAATCTGAGCCCCTCAGCTTGTTGTGGCTGGGATTTAGCTTGTTGTGGCTTGGCAAATGGCGAGCGGTGGGAATTGGATAATGGTGGGAATGGAATGGCGGGAATAGGGAGTATGGTGGGACTGGTAGAAATGGTGGTAAGAATGGTAAGAATGGTGGGAATGGCGGGGATGGTAGGGATGGGAGTGGTGGAGTGGTGGAGTGGTGGAATGGTGCAGTGAAATCTGTGGCAGTGGTGGGAATGCAGAAAATGGTGGTGAATTGGTGGGAATATGCTGGGGCATGGTGGGAATGATGGGGATGGCGGGAGCGGCCAAAGGTGGGAATCAGCACAGCTCACATGCAGCTCTCGTTTTGGGGCGCTTTCAAACCCTTTTGCAGGATCAAAAATGCATCGCTGCGATCTCTCAAAGCATTCTGTTTTTCCATGCCCCTGCAGAAACGCGATTTTCGAGAACCTCGGGAAACGGTCACGCATGCGTTCCATGCACATGCCACGAAAATCCGCCACTTCCCCAAACATGCGCTTGGTTTTCCCTGCAGACTCTGAAGAGCTCTGAACAATAATCCACATGTGCACCTGAACACACAAATTAGATGAGCACTTCTGATCTTCAAGCCCATCTTGACAGCTCTAGTAGATCATCAACCGATCCCAGCTTCCACGCATGCAAGCGCTTGGATTTATCCTTGCATCGCCACTTTGTCGTCCTGGTCTGTGCACGCCTGCGCACTGGTCTCTCAGCCAGGGGCCTCATCAAAGTGTCAGTGAACCCACAAACCTTTGCAAACAGCCGAGCTCCTGGCCGCTGCACCAGATGCTTCCTGCACAGCTTCCGAGCAACAACACTGGAAGCAGGCACCCCACCTCTAATCCCCTCCCCAACACGCCATGACCACTTGCGCCCCTTATTGGCCACTTTTTTTGGCCGACATGGGTACCCCCCGCAGCCAACACGAGTGCGGAAGCCGACCGTGCATCAGGACCAAAACCCATGGGCCACAAACTCCCTCCTCTTTTTCCGCCCCCCCCCCACTGTTCACCCCAACCAACAACCTGCCGCCCCCCTGGCGCGGTTGCGGACTCCACATGCTCTGCGCTGGGCCAGGCCGAGGCGTGTCGCGTAGTGTTAAAACTACACGATTGGAGGTGAAATGCACACCTTCTTAGGTCTGCACAGTGTCTCGCCACCGGTGAGCTCCGCATTCTCTGCAACCTGCTGCCACTCTCCAGCCTGGCAGAACCGGAAGCCCTGCGAATCACTCACCGTTCGCTGCACTGGCTTGCACCGCAGCACGCAGAAGGCCTCACCGTACACTTGAAAGACGGGCCCGGAAGCTGCATTTGGACCCGCCGAGTCGTCCTGGCAAGATGGAGATCTCTCCGGGCTCTTCATCAGGGCAAACTTGCAGGAACACCCTCAGCAAACCCAGAGCCTCCCTGAAGCCTCTCCCTCTCCGCCCCCTGGCACTCCCGCTACCTACATTACCATACATTACCCTGTCCCGGAACTCGAAATCCCTTCAACTCCGAAAAGCATGCGCATTCCCTTGGGCCTGGCCCGGCTGGCGGCGCAAGCGCTTTCAAATATCCTGCGCCGATCCCAAGGGGCGGCGCAAAGAGGTCAACATAGCAGGCGTCAATTGACACATGTTGGCTTCCGACAAGATGAGGTTGGGTCACATGCCTGATGTTATAATGTGTTAGCGCTACCATGCGGCAACACTCAAGCTGAACGAGCACAAAGCAAAACTAGCATCTGCCTTTTCCTGTCATTGCAAAGTGGCTCGTTGGTGAATACAAAACAAAATTTGGGGTTTTTCGACAAATCAGGCAGCCTTAAAACCGCAGGCCGAACCAAGCAAAGTTGACCTCTGCGCCTTCAGTGAGCTGCCCAATTCTCTGTACAGTGAACCTCACCATCTGACCTGCAGAATCGACACGCAGGCCATGCAAATTTCAAGGCACTCAGACATCAGCCTGCACCTGGCCATCCTCGGAACGAGTCATTCCTCGACCAATCGGACAAGTCGGGTCCAGGGCCGGCTTAAAAGTTCCGCAAAGGTTCGTGAAGATAGGAAAACTTGCCGGAAGCCATAAGGATGATAGCGACCCGTCGGCTTTCATCGCTTTGGAAACGTCAATGTGACTATGACTGCACGAAGCTTCTCGACCCTTGCGGAATGGAGTTCGTGATTAATTCGAACTAGGCTTCTGCACGACTTCTTGCGTGCTTTGCAAAACTCGGAATTTGTGCTTGGGCGTGGTGGTCCCATCTTCCCTTCCCAAGAAATATGATATGTGCTCATTTATGCATGGACAGAGCGTATAGACACAGCATAGAGTGGAGATCTAAGATTATGCCTGTGTGAATTAATGTGGCATGCGCATATAAACCCTCCTAACGAGGCTCCGTAACTCAGAGACCCCTGCATCACGTAGCATGCCCTGCCTGCGACCCCAGCTCGCTCGATTTTGAGTGCGACAGACATATGCACGGCCCATGGGAACGCGAATGGCTGACCGAAGTCGCTTCCCGAAACAGGTCGTCGACAACTGTGCCAGGTATATGCGCAAGAGAGAAAGTGAAGAAGGGAGGGGGCGGCGAAACTAAGAAATAAAGAATATGCTCCCAGGCACACGCCAAGCACAACTCAGGAAAGAACAACCAAGCTGTCGCCACGAGCATTTTTGCGGAGTAATTTCGCCAACCTATCCACATCGCGACGTCGCTTCCGTCGAAAGCAGGAACTTCCGAATAACAGGTCTGGAAACACGTGAAAGCAAACCAAGTGCAGCACAGCTACGGCTGCTGCGCTTGAGGCACAGCCTCAAAACCAGGGGGGGGGAGGGGGGGGGGGAGCGGGGGGGGAGGGGGGGGGCGGGGGGGAGGGGGCGGGGGTGGGGGGGTGGGGGTGTGTGGGGGGTTGGGGGAGGGGTTGGGATACTTTCCGATAAAAAAAACACTCGTTAATGAAGATTTGGAAACAGTTATTTGGCGTGCGAGTGTCGCCAGATGTCGCCAGCACACTTTGGCACGTTTCCGAAATGCGCTTGTCTAAGGGATTTCGTTGCAGCTTGCCAACAGCCATCTTCAAAGAGAGAGCGAGAGAAAGACATGAGAACCCCAAACCCTAAAGCGTAAAGTCGATGAACAAAGGAGAGATTGTTAACGCGTAGCCGACTTTGCTCTTTGACCGAAAAGGAAAGTTACTGCTTAGTCTAGGGTTTACACAATACAGTACAAATCAGAACTTTTTATATATATAGAGAGAGAGATATAAAAAATCTATGATATATATATATATACATAGAGAGAGATATTTATGCACATCATCTATGCTGCCCAAGCCTTCATTCCCAATGGGTGACATCCAACGTCTGCGTGGACTTGCAGCAACTTAAAATTTCCGAATGCCATGTGGCTTGTGTCACGTGTCAAACGAAATCACACTGAGTTCACAAATTCTTGGAATTTCTGTTGCACCATAGACCCAATCCAGCTCACCATCGTACTCCTCACATGGCGGTTCACTTGGTCAAAGCCCACCGTGTCTTCGATGGCCTTCATCACCTGCAGCTTGTCTCGCACATCCCATGCCTCCGCCTCCTTCACATCCACCTGGCACAGGCTTTGCTTCACCTCCTCGATGCCCTCGGCTCCACGCAGGATCTGCACGTTCAAAGATTCCGAGGAACTCTGCGGCATCACAAAGGTCACAGGCACCTCCAGGGAGCACGCCGTGAACTGCTCGTATATGGTCCAAACGCGAGTAAGGTAGACGGGCTGCTTCCAGGTGTCGAGCACAGCAACCACGCGGCCAATACGAGTCAAGTTCTCCTTGAATACCCTCTCAAGGTCGTCACTGCCCGTGGTGAGGCCTTCGAGGATGATCCTGAACTGGCTTCTGTGAAAATCATTACGACATGTAGCAACCTGACTTCGGATCAAACCACAGCCCGGCAATAGAAATGAGTGGAGAATCCCTAGGGCTATGGCACTTACCTTAAAGAGAAGGGTGGCCTGAACTGGTTGTTCCCAAGATGTGTTTGATATGCTGTAAGCCGACTATGGATCAGGCCTGAACTGATTGTTCACGAAGAAGCACATGAAGAAGGAGACATCACCAAGCTCTTTTGGCTTGTCAGCCATCCACATCTCCAGTGAACTTCGAATCTGGTCAATACTGTAGCGCCATGTCCAGGACATAAAGTGCGTTTGTGGTCGACGATGCCGCGATGGCAGCCAATCCACCAAGGCAATCCCTTTACGCCCATCTCTGGGGCAAAGTACATCCTCACCAATGGGACTCGGGCACATCCAAAATGCTTCTTTCAGATCGTTGAAGGTGGGGTCTGGCTTCCCGGAGCGGCCCGTGGCAAGAGATCGGAAGTCCTCGGACAACAAATACTCCATACCCACTCCTGCCACCAAGCTTTGCTGGGCTTGAATCTGGCGAATTTCTGTGTCCAGGGCAGCAGCACTGACACCCAGATTTTGCAAGGCGAGCCTAGCATCTGCAAGAGATCCCTCGTCACGTTGCCACAAGGCACCTTCCAGCCAAGCCATGGCCGCGTTCACCTCCTCTTCATGCTGTTTCCGTTGGCCGCGCTTCCTCTTTTCGACGAAGCCCACCAGCATGCGGCCAGCGAGCAGACCAGTCAAGAGGAAGACAACGATTATGGGAAGGTGCCACCATATGCACCGATTGTTGACGAGAAGGTACGGGAAATCGCAGGTCTCGCAGAACAAATAGCCAGGGGGAACAAACTTGCCCTTGGGGCATTCATGGCATGCACTTTGATTTGCGTTAGGCACTGAGCGGCTTCCAACACAGACCTTGCATGAGCTGGAGCCTTCCGGGGCATAGCGGCCGGCAGGGCACGTTCGGCAGGATCGATGATCACTAGCTGGGAAGGTGCCAGCTGCACAGACAGAGCACTCCAGCTTAGGGGTGTTGCTCACGACCTGCACTGCGTTCGCGGCCAAACATGTGCAGCAGGAGGCTGCAGTGACATCTTTTCCAGGAGATGGCGCCAGGGTCCCCCAACTTGGACACGAGAAGCTCTTGCAAGTCGCCTTGCGAAACGCATAGATATTGCTGCCAGCCAGCCGATATCCGAAGACAGGAAAGTCTTGGGCGATGCGCAGATCACAGCGAGAGTGGGAGTGTTGCCCAAGCTCCCGTTCATAAGAAAAGAAGAAGCCTGAGCAGTTCTCCAGATGAGAGCAGCCTGCCGCACAATCTCCAAAACTGATATCATAAATGGTATGGTCATCTTGCGACCGGCAACCCAAGCCACCACACTCACCAAATTCTACAAAACCCAGAGTTGTTGGCTTACACATTCCCTCAAGACATGCCAATGATGTGCTCCCGCAGCCACTTGCAAGGCACTGGGGGCACGGCAGGTATCCTGGAGGAGGCAAACTGTAGCGCTCCAAGAGGGTGCATGAAGCAATCCCAGATCCACGGAACATCCCTTCTGGCAAAAATCGAAAGCCAACGTGCCACATGGTCATGGATCTGTCGAAGCTAGTGGCAGCAACAAACATCTGGCTCATGTCCTGCGCCGCTCCGATGTCCCAAGCTGCCAAATCTCTGTCGAAGCTTGTCGCAGCAAAGAACATTTGGCTCATGTTCGTCACCAACGACGTATTCCATCCGCCAATATCTTGGTCGAAGGCATAAGCGTCGTAAAACATTTGGGACATGTCAACCACCAGTCTGGTGTCCCAGCTGCCAATTGCCTGGTTGAAGGCCTTGCTCCCATGAAACATGGACTGCAAGTTCGTCACGGACGAGGTGTTCCAGCTGCCTATGTCTTCATTAAAATTGCTGGCCCGGTAGAACATAAAGCCCATATCTGTCACTTTCGAGGTGTTCCAACCACCGATGGGCTGGTTGAACATGCTGGCCTGACGGAACATTGAGTGCATGGTCACAACGGACTGCGTGTCCCAGGTGCCGATGGCACTGTTGAAGGAGCGTGCATCCTGAAACATGTAGCTCATGTCAAACACTTGTGAAGTGCTCCAAGAAGCGAGCGGCTGGTCGAAGTGAACAGCTACGCGGAACATGCACTTCATGGTCCTGACTGCTGATGTGTTCCATGACCCAATGGGCTTGTTGAAGTTGGACCCGTATTCAAACATGTGACTCATGTTGGTCACAGACGAAGTGTCCCACTTTTCGATGTTCTGGTTGAATTTGGACAAACTAAACATGGACGCCATGCTCTTCACCCTTGATGTGTCCCAAGCGCCAATCGGCCTGTTGAAGGTAGACATCTCAAACATGCTACTCATGTCGGTCACCGACCCCGTGCTCCAGTGCTGGATGTCCTGATTGAAGACGCTTGTCTGCGCAAACATGCCTTGCATGTTCTCCACTGCCGACGTATTCCAACTTCCAACAGTTCCATTGAAGGAGCCTGCCCTAGCAAACATCCAGCTCATGTCTTTCACAGAGGATGTGTCCCAACTGGCCAGCTGTTGGTTGAATGTCCACGCATCCGTGAACATGCCCATCATGTTGGTAACGGACGCGGTGTTCCAAGTTCCCAATGGGCGGTTGAACATGGCAGCCTCCGAAAACATGCCGCTTGTGTCCGTCACGCAGGACGTGTTCCATGTGCCTAAGGCTTGGTTGAACGCACTTGCTCCCAGAAACATGTTTCTCATATCTGTAACACTTGAAGTGTCCCAGCTGGCTAGTGATTGGTTGAACATGCTCGCATAGGCAAACATACCTTCCATTCTTCTGACATTGCCAGTGTTCCACTGGCCAAGGGATCCATTGAACGAAGCAGCTTTCAGAAACATGTACCTCATGTCGGTCACTGAGGATGTATCCCAGCCGGAAAGGGGCTGATCGAAGGAAGTCGCCGACATAAACATCTTGAACATGGTGGTGACACCTGATGTATTCCAACTTCCAACTGCTCCATTGAAGTCCTTGGCATTGTAAAACATGGCGCGCATATCTGATACGGAAGACGTGTCCCAAGAACTGAGATCCTGGTCGAAGCTGGTCGCCGAATAGAACATTCCTTCCATTGTCTGGACGGCTGAGGTATTCCACATGCTGATGTCCTGGTTAAACACCTGCGCTCCATAAAACATGAAGCGCATGTCGGTCACGGAGGAGGTGTCCCATCCATCCAGGGGCTCATTGAAAAACATGTTGGCAAACAAAGTGCTCATGTCAGTCACAGCTGAGACATTCCAGTCCCGAATGTCGCCCAGGTCTCGTCGGATCTGCTCCCTTTCGGTCTCATCAGCAGCCTCCCAACGTCGGAGCGAAGCTTTCAGCGCGTACTTCTCCTTGAAGACCGCCGCGGAGGAAGCGGAGGAAGCGGAGGAAGCACCCTCCAAGCAAAGCCACAGCCACAGAATGCCAGGTGCCATGGGAATGCAAGAGGGAGGCGTCTCACTAAACGATATGATACGATATGTATTTTGGCTTCCACAATGTTTCCGCCGTCCCGATTCACGCAACCCAGTACTCGAACAAGAACAAGTCAACGACATCTCCAATCTTGGGCCGGTGCTTGAATCTCTAGTAATCTGATGTCTGGGTTACGGTAGCACGCGTCGTCACAACCGCTCCCGTCATCAATGCTTTGATATGGCAAGAAGAGAAACCCGCATCGCCTGATCTGCCTCCCTCCGCAGGGATCGCCGCAGTCCTGGCTCGTGCGCCTCGGCTGACGCGAAGATGCACAGGCTGTTCAACAACCATGCCCCGAGGTATCTTCGAAGTTCCTGTAGCTGGTCCCTGTCCTCCTGGGCACCAAAATGCCAGAAGACCGGGACACCGTATGCTGCAGCACCAAGCTCCGAGCCATCAGCATCGTGCACCACTAACAGTCAAACATCCAACCCTCAACCCTAAACCCAAACTGTGTGCACCTGAGCACAATTTTGAGCATTCTATCTGAACTCTGATGCCAAAAACTTAACTGGGAAGTCTACCACAGGTCCTGAAATTGGCCACGAGGCTGGCATGGCCCGGCTTTGGTTTCTTTGCTGGGGTTGAGGACTTCGGGGATGCCAAAGCCCAAGCCCTGAAATTCTCAGAGCCTGAAAACACTACATTCCCACTGCAACAACCTCAACCCTGACCTAATGTGCGAGTTTTGGTTGGGCTTTAGGGTTTAGTGGGCTTAGCGTTGGGAGCTTCAGGCTTCATAAAGTTCTGATAGCTTGGGCTGAGAGCTGTGAGCCTTGCATTTGGGGGGGGGGGGGGGGGGGGGGGGGGGGGGCGGGGGTGCAAGATCGAAATCGTTTGGCTTGTAGCTTCCTGTCATCCCTATTTTGCCACAAGCATGATGTCGGGTTGCGGCAGGTAGAACCTAATCTCGGCTAGAAGTTCTGGACGGCAGTGAGATGAGGACCGGACTGAAACAGCTTTATGACCGGGACGGGCACCCGTCGCACAGGGCAGCCTTGGCTTGATGTTGCGCTAGCACATCCTTTAGCTGAATAGGAGATACGGCCCAAGTACACAACGTGGTTCTGCGGGTCTGACAGTCCCAGCAATTCCAACGTTGTGGATGACATGCCGAACACTAGAAGCAAGAAGGGTCCCGCGAACGGCAACCACCTCGAACGCTCAACAACCACTTAGTTGCCTTGCGTCCCGATTGCTTTGCTGTAGCCGCCCATGACACGTAAACGAAAAAACCTGCAGCCACAGCTTTAGCAGGCCGGGAGCGTCCCTTCAAGACACCTGAAGAGAAGCTGGGCAGCTGGCTGCTAAGCAGAACTTGCTTAGAGCCAGGCTGCTTCAGATTCCCATTTCTGTCCTACTGTGGCCTCCCTGGGTCCCTAGCCAAGACTAGGCCGACCAAGCTCAATACAACTTTGATGTTGCCATCGGCTTTTCCGACAAGACTACCACAACTAACTCAATGGCCATCGTCGAAAAATGAGATGACTCCAGTGGCAGTTCTCAGCCATACGAAGCTTCCATACTGGCTTTTGCAATTTGGTGGTACCTCAACTCAAACTTGCGGCTGACAGTGTGCTGTCTCTTGGGTTTTTTGGGCGCATGCCTGGCTGGGCAAATCTCAGCCTCTCAGCTTGTTGTGGCTGGGCAAATCTCCTTGTTGTGGCTGGGCAATTCTCAGCCTCTCAGCTTGTTGTGGCTGGGGACATCCACAACACGCTAATTGGCTGAGATTTGCCCGGCCAAAACAAGCTGAAAGGCTGAGATTTGCTGAGAGGCTGAAAATTGCCCAGCCACGACAAGCTGAGAGGCTCATTCTTGCGGCTGCGCAAATCTCAGCCTCAGCTTGTTGTGGGGCGAATCTCAGCCTCTCAGCTGGTTGTGGCTGAGCAAATCTCAGCCCGCCAGCTTGTTGTGGCTGAGCAAATGCTGGGCAAATCTCAGCCTCTCAGCTTGTTGTGGCTGGGGACATCCACAACACGCTAATTGGCTGAGATTTGCCCGGCCAAAACAAGCTGAAAGGCTGAGATTTGCTGAGAGGCTGAAAGTTGCCCAGCCACGACAAGCTGAGAGGCTCATTCTTGCGGCTGCGCAAATCTCAGCCTCAGCTTGTTGTAGGGCGAATCTCAGCCTCTCAGCTGGTTGTGGCTGAGCAAATCTCAGCCCGCCAGCTTGTTGTGGCTGAGCAAATGCTGGGCAAATCTCAGCCTCTCAGCTTGTTGTGGCTGGGGACATCCACAACACGCTAATTGGCTGAGATTAGCCCGGCCAAAACAAGCTGAAAGGCTGAGATTTGCTGAGAGGCTGAAAATTGCCCAGCCACGACAAGCTGAGAGGCTCATTCTTGCGGCTGCGCAAATCTCAGCCTCAGCTTGTTGTGGGGCGAATCTCAGCCTCTCAGCTGGTTGTGGCTGAGCAAATCTCAGCCCGCCAGCTTGTTGTGGCTGAGCAAATGCTGGGCCTCTCAGCTGGTTGTGGCTGAGCAAATCTCAGCCCGCCAGCTTGTTGTGGCTGAGCAAATGCTGGGCAAATCTCAGCCTCTCAGCTTGTTGTGGCTGGGGACATCCACAACACGCTAATTGTCTGAGATTTGCCCGGCCAAAACAAGCTGAAAGGCTGAGATTTGCTGAGAGGCTGAAAATTGCCCAGCCGCGACAAGCTGAGAGGCTCATTCTTGCGGCTGCGCAAATCTCAGCCTCAGCTTGTTGTGGGGCGAATCTCAGCCTCTCAGCTGGTTGTGGCTGAGCAAATCTCAGCCCGCCAGCTTGTTGTGGCTGAGCAAATGCTGGGCAAATCTCAGCCTCTCAGCTTGTTGTGGCTGGGGACATCCACAACACGCTAATTGGCTGAGATTTGCCCGGCCAAAACAAGCTGAAAGGCTGAGATTTGCTGAGAGGCTGAAAGTTGCCCAGCCACGACAAGCTGAGAGGCTCATTCTTGCGGCTGCGCAAATCTCAGCCTCAGCTTGTTGTAGGGCGAATCTCAGCCTCTCAGCTGGTTGTGGCTGAGCAAATCTCAGCCCGCCAGCTTGTTGTGGCTGAGCAAATGCTGGGCAAATCTCAGCCTCTCAGCTTGTTGTGGCTGGGGACATCCACAACACGCTAATTGGCTGAGATTTGCCCGGCCAAAACAAGCTGAAAGGCTGAGATTTGCTGAGAGGCTGAAAATTGCCCAGCCACGACAAGCTGAGAGGCTCATTCTTGCGGCTGCGCAAATCTCAGCCTCAGCTTGTTGTGGGGCGAATCTCAGCCTCTCAGCTGGTTGTGGCTGAGCAAATCTCAGCCCGCCAGCTTGTTGTGGCTGAGCAAATGCTGGGCAAATCTCAGCCTCTCAGCTTGTTGTGGCTGGGGACATCCACAACACGCTAATTGGCTGAGATTTGCCCGGCCAAAACAAGCTGAAAGGCTGAGATTTGCTGAGAGGCTGAAAGTTGCCCAGCCACGACAAGCTGAGAGGCTCATTCTTGCGGCTGCGCAAATCTCAGCCTCAGCTTGTTGTGGGGCGAATCTCAGCCTCTCAGCTGGTTGTGGCTGAGCAAATCTCAGCCCGCCAGCTTGTTGTGGCTGAGCAAATGCTGGGCAAATCTCAGCCTCTCAGCTTGTTGTGGCTGGGGACATCCACAACACGCTAATTGGCTGAGATTTGCCCGGCCAAAACAAGCTGAAAGGCTGAGATTTGCTGAGAGGCTGAAAATTGCCCAGCCACGACAAGCTGAGAGGCTCATTCTTGCGGCTGCGCAAATCTCAGCCTCAGCTTGTTGTGGGGCGAATTTCAGCCTCTCAGCTGGTTGTGGCTGAGCAAATCTCAGCCCGCCAGCTTGTTGTGGCTGAGCAAATGCTGGGCAAATCTCAGCCTCTCAGCTTGTTGTGGCTGGGGACATCCACAACACGCTAATTGGCTGAGATTTGCCCGGCCAAAACAAGCTGAAAGGCTGAGATTTGCTGAGAGGCTGAAAATTGCCCAGCCACGACAAGCTGAGAGGCTCATTCTTGCGGCTGCGCAAATCTCAGCCTCAGCTTGTTGTGGGGCGAATCTCAGCCTCTCAGCTGGTTGTGGCTGAGCAAATCTCAGCCCGCCAGCTTGTTGTGGCTGAGCAAATGCTGGGCAAATCTCAGCCTCTCAGCTTGTTGTGGCTGGGCACATCTCAGCCTCTCAGCTGGTTGTGGCTGGGCAAATCACAGCCTCTCAGCTTGTTGTGGCTGGGCAAATCTCAGCCTCTCGGCTTGTTGTGGCTTGGCAAATCTCAGCCTCTCAGCTTGTCGCGGCTGGCAAAGCTCAGCCTCTCAGCTGAACATGCTCATGACCAGGTGCTGTTCAAGGGGGTTTCCTGCTCGCGTACTCCACAGCCCTGTGCCAAACTCCTACTTCTGAGGGAGGCACCAAGCCACGCCTACTTCTGAGGGCCGCGCCAACACTAGACAGAAAACATCGTACTACGCCACCCTCCAAGCAGCTAGCACGTCCGGAGTCCGACACCTAATGATGCAGCATGCGTCCACACTGGCATCAAGGCAGAGAGCATGGTAGGCCTTAGGGCGAACCCCGACACCCGCACGAGTCTCCGGCGTCCTGCGAGAACTCCCGCCATGCATGCCCACGGGCCGTAACGGCAGGGGCAAAAGCAAACACAAGAAGCAACAGAGGCACTGCGCGCCAGCAGGGAAGAGGAACAAAGTTGATAGGCTTGCTGTGGCTCGGCAAATCTCAGCCTCTCAGCTTGTTGCGGCTGGGCGAAAGGCGACGGATACTGAGCCTTTGCGAAGGAACTTTTGCAAGTGTTTACAATTCTCTCCTTGCCACAAAATGGGCTTCTGCTGTCGAGCTTCACTCCGATCTCCTTCGCAACCTTTGGCAGACCAAAAGCCAGCCAAAGACTTGAGCTGAATTATGTTTGTGGAGTGTGGGCGGTTTTTCTGGCAAAACCTGGACTCAGAAAACCCCCGAAAATGTAAACTCCAAATGGGCGGCCAAGACAGCCTGACATACATCGATTCGGAATACATGGTTTATAGCTGCCATGGCTGAAGCCAACAAACTCTCAAAATTTCGCACATATTCACATACTTTCCACTCTGAGCATGTGAGTCTGCATATGCGCAGTCACGAAGCAATTGGCGCTGCCGCGACCTGCACATCTCACTACCTCCTGGTTTGTAGGCGCTTCCAGCTGCAAAAATGCAATGAAAATCCTTCCCGTCGACTCTGCATCCCCCTTCGGCCCCCTCAAACCACGCTGCCACGCTCAACCCCACAAGTGCCCTCGTTCTTTTCGATTGAACTGCTTCCTCTGGGAGTGCTTGTGCCCTTTTCCTCATGTATTCCCAGCTTAATGTCACTGGTACTTGCTCGCATCGCTGTGCTTTGCCAAGAGTCGCTTCTGTGGCGTCTCTGTATGAGGCTGGATGCAAGCAGGCCTGCAAACATCCTCTGGTCCGAATTGTTGCAAGGGGAGGCCTTCTGGCGATCCCAGGGCACTGCAAGCGATGACTCTGTCATGACTTGCAATGGAAAGGTGGAACATCAGGCCATCTCGGCCCTCAAAAGCGCTCATGCAATGTCTCTACGGTCTCTCTACGGTGACTCTACGGTGACTCTACGGTGATCTGCGGGCTAGCATGAAAGCTTGAAAGCCAAGCTGAGGCAGAGCACCCAGCTCCAAGATGTGCCGCCTCAGTTGCAAGGTCCAATGAGGCAATGAGCATGACTCAGCTTCAGCAAGCGTGGCTTCACAAGGCTTCGCACTGCAACCGGATCTTGAGGACCAGGCGAGCGTTGTCGATAACGTAGCCTTGCAAACACTTGCAAACAGTCTCAACTGTCCCCAAAACCGGCACTCAGACCACAGCATGACCACCGCATCGCAAGACTGAAGAAGCACGGGGTAAGCCCGCGGCCATCTCGAAAATCATCAACATCGTCTGAGTCTGAGTTGTTGCTGGTGTTGTGGACCTCAACATCCTCTGTCTGATTTTGCTGAGATTGATTCATCGGAGGCCCGGCTGCTACTACCACAAGATCATCGAGAGCTGTGCTTTGCAACGGCTGAGAATCCTCAGAACTTGTCGTACTTTCTGATGTGCTTGCACCTGTTGTGCTTGCGTCTGTTGTGCTTGCGTCTGTTGTGCCTGCTTCGGTGAGCTCCGTTGTCACGGTGTGTGGAGTGGGTGTGGTCGTGGTGAGGGTTCCGGTGCTAGTGGCTGTAAGTGTGGAAGTAATGCTATTTGTAGCTGTGGCTGTGGCTGTGGCTGTGGCTGTGACTGTGGCCGTTGTCGAAGTCGCTCCTCGAGCTGGGCTTTGATTGGGAAACGAAGAGCTTTCGGCCACTTCTTTTACAGTGGTCTCTGCAGGCTCTGACGTGGACGCATCGCCTTCGGCGAATGTGGTCCCTGTGAATGTGGTGGACTTGGTCGACTTGGTGATTGTTGTTACTTTTGTTGCAGTCATGGTGGAGGTGCTGGGGGCTGTGGGGGCTGTGGAGGTGCTGGACACCTCGCAGACTTCCATGAGCTGCTCACCACTCCTGGGCAGATCGATTCCCACATACTTCTTGGCGGCATCCAGAAGCGGCGTGCATGATCCCAAGACATCTGGCAAAGCCATGCAATAAAAGGTCTGCCAGTTTGGGCAGATCGTCAAAAAAGGATCTTGGCCCATCATGACATTGGTGATGAGGCTTGCCATTGGGACGCACACTTCTGGGCAAGCCGAGATGCACTCAGGCGCGAAGTCCCGGATCATTCGTAGAATAGAGCTGCCGGAGCAGGGTGCCTCCTGGCCCTTCTGAAGATTCTGCCCAAAGCCCTGCGAGCACAAGCCAAGGAACGCCAGAGCCGCCAAGGTGCCGCTGCATCCCCTGAAGCGCCCCAGGCGCCCCAAGCCGTCGCCCACCATTGAAATGAGATGGCCGGTGTCGAAGAGCGAAATCTCCGTCTTCCAGATATGCCTACTCAAGTGCGTGAAGACGATAGCTGTAGCTCTGAGATTTAGCGACTCGGTAAGCCATGTTCCATCCAAAAGGGCTTTTTGAGTAGAACGAAAATAAACATGACGTACGAAAAGAATGTGAACAAGAAGAATGTGAGAGAAATCTCGAGCCACTCTCGATTTCGCTCTCTTCTCTGTGCGACACGGCGAGCCCAAGCACTGCGGAGAGAGAGAGAGAGAGCCCGTGCGGACATGCGTTAGACGTGAGAGGTCTGAGAGATGTACAAAAAGGAGCACCTTTCCACCCTTTCAGCAGAGCCTCTCAGAGCCTTTCCCTCCTTCTCTCCCCCAGAATCTTATCAGTGCTCTTTTGAGTACCCTTGGTTTTTTTGCCTTTGTGCATTAGCTGAGTCGGACGTCGGGGCCAAGTTTTGCCCCAGAGCTCATTCCAAGCTCACGTCGACAAGCTCTTTGTGCACCTGAGCCCAAACTACACTTCGCTCTCATCACAAGCGCACCCACCGCCTAAGCCTTAGCTGTTTAGAGCAAAGAGGGCGCGACGTAGCTCACGGCGAATGCTGTCACAGAAAAGCCATTTGGCAGGTAGACTGGAGGCCTCGAAAACATGTGTGTGTGGGCACATGTTCGTGCACCGGGAGAGGTGGCATTTCTTGGCATTTGCACGGCAGCTCAGGAGCGGTCTCGCCACATGGTTCCACGCCACAGTTGTCCTGTGAGGCACTTGTTCATGCTCTGAAATTTGCAGCTTGCTTTGTGTGTTTCTTCAAGAAGCAGCACTGATGGTTGTCGCGAATTACTCGTCCTGTGGGGTCCACCCTTGTCGGTAGACTTCCAGTGTGGACCCTGCGGTCGATCAGAGGCTGGGAAGCGTCGAGAAGCTTGAAATACTTTGCCACACTTTGCCACAGTGCCTGTGCAGAAGAACCTCTTCCGGAGACCTTCCATGATTGACACCTCACCGAGAGAGGGAGAGAGGGGGAGCGAGAGCAGCGTTGACTGTGTACTCAAAAAGAACATGCGCAATCAGAGATCGACAGAGATCGACAGGGAGCGAGAGAGAACTGAGAGAACACGGAATGGGCGTGGGGAGTACAGTCGCGGAAAGCGTCTCGAACGCGGACCGAAAGAATGCGGGCCTGGCGAGTCAGCTTCTCCTGCAAGCTCAGGGCCTCGGTGTCGAGCACACTGCGAGAGGGGGGAAGGAGTCATTAAGGAGAAGGCCTTGTTTTGAATGTACTTTTACTTTTGGGTTGAGAGAGAACATTCTCTCTCTGCTCTCTGTCTGTCTGTTCTTTCCGATGCTTCTTTCCGTTGTTGAGCAAAGAAAACTTAAAGGAGGGCCTGCCCGCTGTCCTTGCCTTGTACTGCGGCAACTCCGCTGCAGAGCCGAAGCCAAAATGTATCTGACAAAGCTCAACGCCGCATCACGTGGGGGCCGTTGGACAGCTGCAACACATCACGCCTCCATGTCAAGAGTTCGCACCTCACCAACAGGGATAAATCATGCGCAAGGAGTCCGGTGCAGTGACGCTGCAAAGCGGTGGTGAGGTGGTTGGGGGCTTTGCGTGCAGGGAGCAAGCTCATCACGGTAGCAATTTAGGGGGCGCACCAGGCCAGATTTTACTAGACACCAGTAGACACCTCAGACTAACCCCGCCACGTCTGCCACCCGCGATATTCGGGAACATGACTCTCGGGATATGTAGACGCCACCACTGCACGGTCTTCAAGAACTAGATGCTTGCAAGCTCAGCAGCGGGACAACAAATAGTGATTATGGTAATATTTTTGGAAGTCGGAGCTATGGTTTTCCTCTTGCTTCAAGTCAGCGACCAGAAGACACAGGGACTCATTCAAGAATGCGAAAAGAAGTTGATGTAGTAAGTATGTTTGATAGAGGCAGGATAACATGAAATAAAGGGACATTCGCCTCGGCTTCCTGCCGAGAAGCGTCTGGAACAAGCAGTGCAGCAGACCCGGATCGGGCCTCCTTCCCCCTAACCCAACCCTTCCCCCAAAAATTTTGTGGCTGACCCCCCCCCCCCCTCCCGGCCTGTGGGACCCCCCCCCACCTCCCCGCTTCCTGACCAGAAACCCTCTTTCCTCCTTTCCTGTCCGTGGGCCGGCCCGGCTGCCGAGGCGGTGCGCGCGCAAGCGTTTACAATTAAAGGGACAGCAGACTCATTAGACCCTTTACAAAATCATTCAATCCAGGTAACGTTCATAAGAAGGCAGCTGTGGAGACGTTATCTTGCTAGATCTTTGTTGCAGACCCGAACAACGAACGCGGTCGAAGCAACTCTAGCTCCCTTGGACCCCACCTTGTCCCACTCAGCAGGGTTGCTGATCAGCCTCACGTGCACTTTCTTGCTTGCCAAAATCTGCCAAAGAAAAGCTTCTGAGCTGTGCGGCAACGATTGCGGGGTCACGTGCTGCACGAACTCTAACATGACAATCATTTGCACCGGTCCAATACCGCAGATCAGGTGTAGCTGTGCTCTTGCAGCTTCCTTACGGCTTCTCTCACGTTTGCCACTTCGATCTTCCGTCTCCGACCATCCACTTCAACTTCCTGAGCTTGTGGATCTTGCATGAATGATGTCTTTGGTGCTGCTTGCACAATTTGGGCAAAGAAAATGCAGCCGGATGCTCCAATCTTACTGGCCTGTCCTCAGAGGTGGTTCCCAGGAACTGGCACAGGTCATCGATCACCTTTTCCTTGGTTGTGATTCCACAGTGGCGCCAGCTGCGGATTCTTTCCAGAACGGTCACCAGAAAATATCAGCTTTAGCAGAAACTGCCATGCTTCAACTAGCAGACGCAGGCAAATTCTAAGCCACATGTAGAATACTCTCATGGCACATCTTCAAAAGTCACACCACTGAAGACCCCAAACAGTCAAAGGCGCGTCCGAGAAACAGTGGAGACGACGGGAGACAAAGGGAGACAAAGGGAGACAAAGGGAGGCGAGGAGCACAGCAACCCTGCAAAGCCACCCGCATGAAGGGAGACAAAGGGAGACAAAGGGAGACGAAGGGAGACAAAGGGCGACAAAAGGAGACAAAGGGAGACTAAAGGAGACAAACGGAGACAAGGAGCTCAGGAACCCGGCAACAGTTGTCAGAATGTCGGCAATCCTTAAATGAATTTCGAACCCGAACAGTAGACTGTTTGGGGTGTCGCCTCGGGCAGCAGCTGGCTCCAACGTGCTGGATTCAGCCGCGCCAGCCCAGCCTTGAGGCTTGAGGTGACATGACGTTGCTCAGACTTGCTCAGTTCCTACTCAGTTCCTACTCAGTTCCTACTCAGTTCCTACTCGATGTTTATCAGCACAAGCGTTGACAAGCATTCCTCCCATCTTCAGGTGCCCGCTCCGATGGGCCCGCCGTAGCCCCGACCAGCATCTTGCCACATCCACCTGGAAGGAGCTTTTTGGCTTTTTGGGCGCAAACGGGACCTTGCCTCGCAGTGCGGTAGCACAAACATGATCGCAACACCACTACAAGGTGTCACTTGTGACATCTGCTTTTCTCAGTTTGCTGCCTTCAGTGCCCCTTGTATGGTTTAGGGACTTTAGGGACTTGAAGGTCTGCAAGTTCCAGTGCCCATTCCCAAGCTTTGGACCCCCACCCCCGCGACCCCTGCCAATTTTCTCATGGGTTAGGCCCGGTTTGGGGGCCAGCCCATTCCGCTCCCGGTACCCCCTTTAGTACTTTAGGCTTCGGGGCTGCTCCACCTAATCACAAGTAAGCCTCTTCCCGACAAACAAGCGTGACACCGGCGTATGCTTTGACAGTCCACTGGATTAACACGAAACAGCACGGGATCTTCTTCAGATGTGACGTGAAATGAATTTCGGGGGGCCCATCGGTGGGGGTGCAAGGCAGTGTAAGGTGCAAGACGCCTACGGCCCATGACTCCGGACTGTCGGCACCTTGCGTGATTCTCGGCGGTCGCGTGGAGCTCCTGTACTCACATGGAACTTTGGTGGTTTGGGAGGCATTTGAGGATAAACCCAACTGCTCTCGTAATCTTCAACTAAGTTACAAAAATTTTTGTGAGGACAATCATGACGTTTGTTTTCAACTTGAAGAACTCCTAGAAGAGCCAAAATTTCAAAAGCACTATCATGCAAGAATAGAGAAGCTCTCAATTTCCTTTTTAGGGTATTGTATGACTTCCCTGTTTCTGAGAACTTAACAAAGTTTGCGTTTAAGGAGCTATCAAGAAACAGATACAACGCATTGCATCAACAATTTTATCGGTATTGCATCGGCAAACCAAATGAAAGCGCATGAATATGGTTAAACAACTTGTAATAATACATATATATGGCGATAATATGTGAGGGAGATTATGAACCAAGAAATTACAACAGAGTTCAAAACACAACGTAATCTTTGGATGATTGCAGACCTTCCAGAAAACTATATCATCAATGCTTGGAAGCTCAGGCAAACTATAGGGAGAAACACCGAGGATTCAACAATCACGAAGAAAAGCTTGAAAAGAGACGAAACCATGCAAGATACTAACTTGAAAGTATTACAACAGCAATAGCACACAGAGAAAGAAGTAAAGAACAAATAAGTGAGCAAGATAACGAATATGATCAAGGACATAGAGAGGAGAAAACTAGAAAACAGCAAACAATGCCAGCGACTAACGATAGAATGCCCAGTATGTATTAGTCAAGTCCGCAAACGCAAATTTTCAATGCACGAACACACAAAGAAACATACTAACAGCCATAAACAGAAAGCAGAAAGCAACTCAAAGACCAGGTCGCTCAGCACGAAGGCTCAGCTCGGACGGGCGCTTTCCATGCATCAGCGCTTTCCGTGCATCAGCCTCTGGCTGCTCTCTCGCTTCTCTGCCATCCCCCTGCCCTTGAACATGGTCAACAAACAGAAAGAAGAGCAACCGGCAACATTTGCAAGAGCATATGCTATGATGGCATCATTCACGAACAAGCAACCATAACTATGAACAGTGAAAAAATTATGTTTGAACACCGTACCCCCCCGATGGCTTGGGGCAGCTGCAAACCGATGCCGTGGGGGGTCCCGCCTGTCAGCGGCTCCTTCTTTGGGACCCCCCACAAGGCTCCTGGGACCACCTGGGACTGCCCTGGGACCCTAAGACGCCCCTGAACCTTCCTGCCACCCCCTCAAAACTTCCGGACCCCTGCAACCCCTTGTTGAGGCCTTTCCCAGAAACCCTTTTTCCTCCTTTCCTGTCCGTGGGCCGGCCCGGCTGCCGAGGCGGCGCGCGCAAGCGTTTACAATTATTCTTCTCCTCTGTGGCAACATGCCACCCAAGTTAATTGAACGGAAGAAACGTGTTTGCCACTCGTGGCTTTCGGTATCACGATGAAATCATCGAAGAAACCAGTCATCATCAGGAGGAATCAGCGACACACAGCTTTGATGCCAACTCACTTTGCCTCTCGTCCTGCACGATCACGCCTCCACAGCGTAGTTGCTAAGCTATTACATAGCGCTGCTCGCCTCCACAAGTTGAAATGCCTCCCTTGGTCGGGACACATCGTCTCTGAGGAACCTCTCTTCACCGACCGTTTGGTAGGACTCGGCACGTATTCAGGATTTCTGCATCAGTCGTTTTTATTAACACGGGCAATCGAAAAGAAAGCGTCGAAACATGCCGTGTCGGGCCCGTTGCTGTGGATCTTGGGTTTTGGTGTTGCGGCTGTCCCCTAGTGAGCAATGCTCAAAGTACCAACTGAATATGCTGACCTGTCAAACCAAAAAATGAGGCACCCTTGTGCCTGTCTTCTTCTCGCTTCCTACCATACCTCTTCCGGAACACTCTTCTACATTCTCCGCCCTGCTTTCTCTCTGTCCGTCCTCTTCAGCGGACTCGTAGTCGGAGCGTGAGTTTGGGGAGATAGGACTTTGGTCATTATCCAGCAAGCACACTCGCAGTGCTTCCAGTGCTTCCAGGAGCTCGTGATCGCTGTTTGCAGCGTGCCGCCAACTTGCCAGCTCCTGCGTTTGAAGCAGCAGGCGCAAGACCTGCAGCGCCTGCTCCCGACTCAGTCGCTCGTATGCCAGCAGCAGAAACCGCAGGATGGACAGCTTTGGCTCCAAGCGCGAGACGGCCTTCACAGGTTGTGCAGAGCACAAACAGAAACATCTGAGCCCAAAAAAACGATGGAACCCATTTTCCAACGACACTGGGGACTGAAGGATCCCTGAAGGGTCACTGACAGGGTCTCCTGCCTGAAGCTCCTCCGGGTGATACTGCTGCACCAAGTGCAAGCCCTGGGCCATCTGCTGCAAGCTTCGTGTGGCCTCATGTTGCCCTTCTTCAGGCATCCTCTCGAAGTCCAAGCGCCGTAGCACAGAAATCGCCTCCTGTACCGACAAAAGGGCCTCAGATGCCTCAGGGGCCACGGCCCTCCCGGAACTCTGAGGAGCTAGGCCAGCAAGGCCAGCTGGGCCAGCTGGGCGTCCGTGTGCCGCCTCCTCTCAGCATTGAACTCACTCTGAATTTTTAAATTCTGCAATTCTATTCTGAAAAATTTTGTGCGTACGTCTTTCCAGGATTCCAGTTCCATGTTGCCTCTGAGTGAAACTCCACCTCATCTGGCAGCATGGCCAGGAAGCCGCAGCCCTGGAGGCAAAGGCTAAGCAGTGGACTGCGACGTGGCATAGCAAACACTGCGCACGTTTGCTCTAGTTCAGCAAGATGAAGCTTCTGTATGCCTCGGAGGCTTCTCGCCATGCAGAGTCCTTGAGAAGGATGCTGGCCACATTGGCGATCTGCCTACGCTCAGCTCAAGCGACGCGAGTGCAGCGAGTGAAGCGAAGTGAAGCGAGTGAAGCCCATGCCAGGCACTGGCAGGTTGCCTTCGGTGCGGCCTTCGGCATTTGGCAAACTCAGCCAGGAACATCAGAACCTGCCCCAGAAGCTTTCGACTTAGCTGACTTAGCTTCCTGCTTCCCTCTCCATTGCTATCTTGATGCAAAAGCTGGAAACCCGACTCTCCCCCCCCCAACACACCGCAGCCCAACTTTTAACCTCTGCGGCCATGGACTTCCTGCCTTCGGCTTCTGGTCTAGTTCCTGCAACAAGTTTGGCACATGAAGCCACAGCGCGTGCGCGGCGTATGCGTGCGCAAAGGCGCGCCGCTGCTGACTGCCTGAAGCACCGTCGACTGGTGACTGGAGTCGGCACCTCTTTGGCAGGTGTACGGCCTAGTTAAACCCACATTCTGTGTTGCTCATGCAGAATTGCTCTGTCTTGGTGCCCGGCGGACGACACCCTTTCGGAACTTAGCGAAAGCATCGCCGGCCGAATCGTCGCTATAGCGGACCACCTGGAAATCGCAGCACTTGGGCCATGTCGGGAAAGTCAAATGGAATCCACGTACCGAGAAGTTCTCGACTCAAAGCGGCCTGCAAAATTGCTGCGTGCCCCTCTCGGATTAGCTGCCTGGTCTCGTCGACGGCATCTTTCTCGGACATACTTTCATTGGGGCGTGACAGCTATAACCTCCCTTTCTGAATTTGAGCCTAGGCTGCAACGAAGCAAGAGGTGAAGAGCGAAGCAATCTGAAGCAAGATTTGCGGCTTAGAACAAACTCTGGGGCCCTGACCACTCCAGCACGTCCCACTCCGAGCCTTCAACCTGAGGAGGCCAGGCTTTGCTCTGCAGCACGTGGAAACATGGTGGGTTCACCGGACTTGCGCAGTGCGTTGGTAGCTTCATCCAGGCTGCATCGATCTTCAAGTGGACAGACAGCTTGGACCACCCCTTCAGCTGTTCCTTGGGCTTTGAGATGCTTTGAGTCTTGAGTCGATGCAGCCAAAGGTGTGTGTGTGTGTGTGTGTGTGTGTGTGTGTGTGTGTGTGTGTGTGTGTGTGTGTGTGTGTGTGTGTGTGTGTGTGTGTGTGTGTGTGGGTGTGTGTGTGTGTGTGTGTGTGTGTGTGGTGTGTGTGTGTGTGTGTGTGTGTGTGTGTGTGTGTGTGTGTGTGTGTGGGTGTGGGTGTGTGGGTGTGTGTGGTGGGGGTGCGTGCTCTGGATGCCTCCAACGTGACGAAATGCCGGCTCTCCACCACGATGTCCTCGCTACGACACTCCGACACACACACACACACACACCCACGCACGCGCGCGCGCGCGCGCGCGCGCGCGCGCGCAAGCGCACACGCACACACATACACACATTGATGCACACACTCTTTCTCCATGTCTCTCCTGACCGGCCAGGCAGCTACGGTGCGGATGGTAGTTTGCCCCGTAGCAAATAGCTTCCCTTCCGGATGGATGAGAGCATCAAAAGACCGAACAGCAGTAGGCTTGAATGGCTTGAGTTAGCCCTGAGTTCCAGAGCAGCTTCGGCTCGCCACGAAGATCCTTCAAGCAGGTCTGCGAGTTGTTTGGCCTCCGCGTAGCGGACATAGCGATCAAGGCAGGGCCAAGGGCCAAGAAGTGAACTCTCAAAGTGCTTGAGTCTTCTCAAGATTCTTGAAGGCGTTCTGAAAACTTTCTGAGGAAGTTCGAGCGGCGACGTACCGGCCATTGGCGGCGATCTTTCAAGCGGTATGTAGCCTAAGTCTCAAGAGGTCGCATGTTGTCGTCGCAACGTGGTCCAACGATCCAAGTGAGGCCCAGGCAATCATAGAGATGTACCGGCAGCCGGAATTTCTGGCCAAAACGTAGCACAAGGTGGTGTCGTGTGGTGCTGCTACAACAATCAGTCTAATTTTCCAGTGCCTGCGTCACCAACTCCCCCCACATGTCACGTTCCTGGCATGCAGAGCTGCTTCAAACTTCCGGGCGCAAACGCGCTCGCATCTCAAATGCAACTTTGCTGAACTTTGTTGACTCAATCACGCATGCTCGGTCAGCATGCTCACTCGGGTCGGCATTTCGAGCCGTTTCGAGTCAAACCTGGAGTCCTGGAGGCCTCTCTGAGATTTACTTTCGGCCGATCTTACAATCTGCAAGGATGCGATACTTCATACTAAACCTATGAGAACACCAGAGGTCCACACTTACTCAAAGCTGCACGTCGCAGAAGCTCCGGCGATCCATGGCCCCGAAACATAGACCTGCACCTGCACAACCCTTCCCACCAAGCAAGAAGTGAAGGACACCTGGATGGAGATGCAGATGCAGATAGCAGGGCTCTGAGGAAAGACAGCGCAGGGCTGCGGGAAAACGTGCACACAGAGCCACATGGAAAGATCGTGGATGACAGGCACGGCTTGGCGGAGATGAAGTGCACAGCATGTGCACGTTTGCCTCAGCATGTCTTAGCAGGATGCAAAGACAGCCAAGCAGGAAGCCGCCACGGGAGGAGGCATCTTCCCTCTCACGCAGATCCTCACAACACGAAGGGATCGGACGGCCCGCCTGATGGCCCTGAACTGCGCTTCGTGTGGATCTAAACAAAAAGCGACTGCGCGTTTCCAACGAACTTGGTCACCTTCCAGCATCTACTTTGCTTCTGAAATTTCGCCTCGCATACTGACGGAAGCATGGCGGCACTGCGCGACAATGCGTTCACGATTCTGCGATATTCCAGCCTTTGAACTTAGTTCAGCGGTTTGAGATTGCTTCGCTGTACCCTGGAGGTACTGCACTTCAGTTCTCGGGCCAGGCTGAATCAGGTCTCCCCACCGGGTGGTCTTTCTTGCCAGCTATGCCCCAGTCGCTAAGCTGAACCAGGAATTTCGTCGTGCCCCATCTCCCCACAGACATTGATTCCTAGAAAGCATCGCAAAATGCTGCGGCGTCATGGGCTTGAACTCAGATTCCCCACTCCGAAACAAAGCATGGGATCTGCCATGGGCAGGGTAGGCAGGGGCAGGGTTGGAGCTGGAACTGCGCCTCGATGCCGAAGGACAGCCCAACTTGGCCATAGCCATGGCTGCCTCGGCGCGCCCAGCACTGCCCAGCACTCGCCTATAGCACTCGCCTAGCACCCGTTAGGGGGCCTTTTAAGGCCATGGCCGTCGAAGGCTTTGTTGCACCAGGTTTGGTCGCCTTTGGACGCGCTCTGTACTTTCGCAGTGGCCTCGCGCCGACCTATGCGGTTCAGCCGCCCAACAAATAGTAGCCGCCGCACCTGGCCTGACAAGGCTCTCTCTCCATTTCTTTAAGCTTTGAGCGAAAACACCATGAACTTCAATGACAGCGCTGCCTCCGACACCTCCTCTGTTGGTCTGGCACAGGAGTCCAACGTCGAGTTCGAATTGAGAAAGCGACAACTCTCACTCAATGAGTTCACTGTCAGTTTATGCATGAGGCCGCATCTGAGGCCCGTGCGTGACAGCGGCTAAAATGCGGCTGCCGAGCTCTGTCCTCCACTCCGTTACGCCTTGAGATCTTCGAATGCAACAAACAGAACACATTATGTTAATTATGTTACGTAACGGAGCTGTACAACCACGACTGAAAGTCAGCTGATACAAGATGAGAGCTGCCTGAGCTGGGAAGTCGCAGGCAAAGTAGCGAAGAGTCAGAGAATCGCATTGAATATCGCGGATGAGCATGAAAGCGAAAAGCGACAAACGTGAAGCAACTTAAGGTGAAGCATCGAAAACAACGTTGCTTGCGAGTGGCTTCGTTCCTTGTGACTTCGAGCGCCATGTCACTAGCGCTGGATTCGATACACAGAGCCATAGTGGTGGGCAGCCTTCCCTCCCTGGCTTCGTCAGTGTCCGGCCAACCGCGTGCTCATGCCCCATGGGCCACATTCGCTATGATGGAGGCAATTGAGACACGAACTCATCCTTGCAAACAGAAAGAAGGGCAGATTCGGAGATGATGGATGCCCAACCCGCCCCTCTCTTCCCATGGAATTTAAAAATCAAGAAGAGGCATAAAGAAGTAAGTACACGGATGGATGCATGGATGATTCGACGGAACGGTTGATGGATACCGCGACTAAAAAAAAACATGGACAAAGAAAGGAGATTGCGTGACAAGACGTGATCACTAGTGCATCATGTGAGTTCAGATGTGAGTGCCGTGCCAGTGTACGGCCAGAACGGCGGAGGTGGTAGGCAAGGCTTGCCTGGCCGTGAACCTGACGAAATCAGCTGCCCTAACTCAGCCAGAAAACGCAGAGGGCAGAACCTGTGGAAAGCCGTGCTGCGGCGTAAGAAGCACTTAGAACTTAACACTAACACCGAGGTATATGGAGTAAGTTCACTACAATCAATTCATCGTAGTTGTACGAAGATGTCGGTTTTCAGGTCGCTACGCTGGTCACGGCGAGATTGCGAGATTGCGATTGCTCTGTTCGATGCCATGGTCCGTACAGTGAACTGTGCCAACATCTAACTCGTCGTTTCTCCCATCTCCTAGAGTATCCTTCAGAGATTTCGAGAACACTTGTGATACATGTGATACATAACATCGCTGCTACAGCCTCAATCAAGCTCGTGGGCTGGGTAGCTGCAGAATATCCAAGCTCGAGGCTCTGCGACTTGCCTTCGCCGTAGTAGGAGCACGGCTCCTTCACATCCCGACTCAACGGAGCCCACTCCACTCTCCAGTCTTCAATGGCACTCACCAAATTACTCATACATTCATATGCACACGCACACACCTTCATTGGTCCTACCGCGGCACGCACTGTGCGGAGCGCGCTATCATTGCCTCAAACGCAGAGTTCCCTGACGCCAGCGGGTATTTCGTGCGGTGCTGCTGGCCCACTTCTCGACACCACAGACGAAGGCACGAAAGCCGGCGCAAGATGCTCAAGATGCTCAAGATGCTCGCCCCCTGATGCTCTGTCTCCAAGTTCGAAGGTGGTGGTTCTGTTGTGGTCTGCAGGACTCGGTGGGGCCTTTCTTACACAGAGAGAAGTCGGAGGTATTTGCCACATCGCGGGGGTTGTCACCGGCATCACCACCAACATATGCCAACATCATCGTCATCGTCATCATCAGCATCTGCCACACCTTTGCGCGCTTTGTAGCCTCTGCGTGCGCGCACAGACACATTGAGAATGCCTGCTTTGAGGGACGAGGGCTGGGGCCCGGCACCGGCACCAGGGCCCGGCGCAGGGAGAGAACCAACAAAAGGGCCCCAACGCAAGCGCGCAGAGGAACTGACGCCGGTCCTCCTGCGGAACTGGTATCAAAGGGTTGCCCAATGCCTTCTTCAGCTTGGGCTCCTGCGAGGCTCAACACCCTGCAAGTACTGACAGGACTGCGGAGAATTATCCCTTTTGAGCGACCTACGATTGGTACCCTTGTGACCCTGTTATTGACATGGCGATCGCACGTTCCTTGAACCACACGGCTGCCCTCGCCTTCGGTGCTCGGCTCAGCTTATGCTGCATTCCCTGCAGCCCCTGTGCCGCCACATAGCATGGCATAGCACATGGCACAAGCTCCTCTCTGGCAAGCTGGTCCGGATCACCCACACGGAATCTCAAAGCCTTGCGACCTGCACATGCCGGCGATTCGGATGTGGAACTAGGTGGCATGTGGATTCTAGATGGGGCCTCGGTCGCATTGCACGTGATTGATCAGTTCCGTGCCATCGCTCGGTCTGCCACACACATTTCCCCAAGAGTGGCAGCTCATGCCGGAGAAGCATCAAGAATATGAAGGCCTCTCGCTTCCCTGGAACGGATGGATGCAATACCTCAGAAGCCCCATACGCCCCCCACCCCTCCCCCCCCAAACAAAGCAGGGAACCTTTTCAACACCTTTCAAACGCCACACTCACGGAAGCATCGGCTACCTTGCTAGGCATTGACGTCTGGCATCATCTGTGAACCATCTGCTTCCAAATGCCTTCTCGATGCAAACCGATTTTCTTGGATCCGCTTGAATCGGGACCATTTGAACCGGACGTGTTGACTGCCAGAATTGAATACCTAACATCCAAAAACATATGTCGCTATTCTTCAATTTCAGTGCCATTCAAGATTGGGACTCCCTTGTCCCAAACTACTGAACCTCAGTTTTGTTGTCATTGGCTAGTGGTCTTCATGTCATAGTGCTTGGGCTCAGAATTGGCATGTCATACTCAAGCGTCATGCGCACTACGCGGCATCCAGCAACGGCGTCAGATACTCTGCAGGTTGTGACTGCTGCAGTTACTTGGCAATCGGATGCTACAGGAACTCGTATGACGTTCAGAACTGTGAATGATCTGGATCAGTATGGGCAGATTGTTGGTCAAAATTTGTCGACCTCGATGCACGTCTTCTGCTGCCGCACCGGCTACCCCCACATTTTCTCGATCACCAAAACCCTACGAGCACAAAGGAGGGGACATGCCGCAAACCTCTAGGGCCCTCACCAAACCCTACGAGCAAGAAGGGAGGGGACATGTGGCAAACTTCTAAACGAGCACAAAGGGGGGGGGGGGACATGCGGCAAACCTCTAGGGCCCTCACCAAACCCTACGAGCAAGAAGGGAGGGGACATGCGACAAACTAACTCCCTCACCTAAACACTATGAGCACAAGGGAGGGGACATGCGGCAAACCTCTAGGGCCCTCACGAAACCCTACGAGCAAGAAATGAGGGGACATGCGACAAACTTCTAACTCCCTCACCCAAACCCTACGAGCACAAGGGAGGGGACATGCAGCAAACCTCTAGGGCCCTCAGCAAACCCTACGAGCAAGAAGGGAGGGGACATGCGACAAACTTCTAACTCGATCACCAAAACCCTACGAGCACAAAGGAAGGGACATGCGGCAAACCTCTAGGGCCCTCACGAAACCCTGCGAGCAAGAAAGGAGGGCACATGCAACAAACTTTTGACTCCCTCACCCAAACCCTACGAGCACGAGGGAGGGGACATGCGGCAAACCTCTAGGACCCTCACCAAACCCTATGAGCAAGAAGGGAGGGGACATGCGACAAACTTCTAACTCCCTCACCCAAACCCTACGAGTACAAGGGAGGGGACATGCGGCAAACCTCTAGGGCCCTCAGCAAACCCTACGAGCAAGAAGGGAGGGGACATGCGACAAACTTGTAACTCCCTCACCCAAACCCTACGAGCACAAGGGAGGGGACATGCGGCAAACCTCTAGGGCTTTCAGCAAACCACACGAGCAAGAAGGGAGGGGACATGCGACAAACTTCTAACTCCCGCACCCAAACCCTACGAGCACAAGGGAGGGGACATGCGGCAAACCTCTAGGGCTTTCAGCAAACCACACGAGCAAGAAGGGAGGGGACATGCGACAAACTTCTAACTCCCGCACCCAAACCCTCAAGGGAGGGGACATGCGGCAAACCTCTAGGGCCCTCAGCAAACCCTACGAGCAAGAAGGGAGGGGACATGCGACAAACTTCTAACTCCCGCACCCAAACCCTACGAGCACAAGGGAGGGGACATGCGGCAAACCTCTAGGGCCCTCAGCAAACCCTATGAGCAAGAAGTGAGGGGACATGCGACAAACTTCTAACTCCCTCACCCAAACCCTACGAGCACAAGGGAGGGGACATGCGGCAAACCTCTAGGGCCCTCAGCAAACCCTACGAGCAAGAAGGGAGGGGACATGCGACAAACTTCTAACTCCCGCACCCAAACCCTACGAGCACAAGGGAGGGGACATGCGGCAAACCTCTAGGCCCTCAGCATGTATGTCCACTTTCTTGTGCTCGTAGGGTTCCCTGAGGGTCCTAGAAGCTTGTCACATGTCCCCTCCCTTGTGCTCGTAGGGTTTGGTGATCGAGTTAGAAGTTTGTCGCATGTCGCCTCCCTTCTTTCTCGTAGGGTTTGCGACACCCCTCTAGGGCCCTCACTAAACCCTAATTACGAGCACAATGGGGCCCTGACCGAACCTGCGAACACAAGAAAGAGTGCATGTGCCAAGCCTCTAGGGCCCTCAGCAAACCCTAAGAGCACGAAGGGAGTGGACATGCGACAAGCCTCGCCCTAAACCCTAATTACGAGCCAACTCTCAGAGCAACCTGGGCTCTTTGGCACAAGCAGGCGACAGTCTTCTGTACGACAATGCAGTTGAACGGGAAAACCGTGTCCTTCGGGGCCAAAAACCCCCCCAACCGAGCTCAACGAAAGCTGGAGCAAGCTTGGGGCCTCCGGCCACCCTCCTGAGCAAATCCCCCCAGGGCTCACAAGGCGTCGGCTGGAGCGGCGCAAGTCCCTTCAGGACAACATTGCTAGCTCGGCCACGCGACCCAAAATTGCCCTGGAGCCCCAGAAAGTCGACTATCCGGGGATTGGCATGACCTCTCAGTGGGGGAAGGAGGAGATGCCGATCAGACGCCAAGGAACACGTACAGCACGAGCACAAAGGGAGGGACATGTGACAAACCTCTAGGGCCCTCACCAAACCCTACGAGCACAAGAAAGGGGACATGAGGCAAACCTCTAGTGCCCTTACCAAACCCTACGAGCACGAAGGGACATGCGACCAACTTCTAGGGCCCTCACTAAACCTTAATTACCAAGGGAGGGACATGTGACAAACCTCCAGGGTCTTCTGCGCAGACTCTTCAATTCCAACAAAGTAATATGGATGTAGTCCCATGAAAGGATAAACATGCCCCTTAAACTCTGCGGCCACGAGTGAGTAAACCAAAGGGCGCAAACCGTAAACTCCGGCCTAGTCACACTTGAAACACAGATTTAGGTCCTGCGAGGGCCCTAGAGGTTTGTCACATTCCCCCCCCTTCGTGCCCGTGGTTAGGCTCATTTCGTTGCCAGGATTCCGATGTCTTCCGTTCATTTCGTCTTAATTTCGTCGCAATGGCTCCACCTGGTTTTTCTGTTGATTTCGTCTTCATGTCGCCGCAATGATTCCGCCCGGAGTTTCTTGCTTGCATTTCGTCTTCATTTCGTTGCAACGACCACTAGTTCGCTGAAGTTGCTTAAACCACCCTCTGTTTGTGCGAGAAGACTGTTTCAAGAACATCCCCCCCTCTTTTTGTGCGAACAGCCCGTGCCAAAAAATGTCTAGCCCCAGGTTTTCAAATAGCAGCCGGGCTTACATCCCTGTACCCCGTTTGGCGGAATATCATACTGATAACCAAACCGGGAAGAAGGGGAAGTAGAGAGCGGCGTCAAGTCCAGGCCTCTGGCATTGTATGGTGCGCCCGTTTGTCAAAGGAAATTGCCGATGAAAACAAATGGCAATGACGTCACGTTGCTAGCTTCGGGCCAGGTGCGGGCCCGAGACGTTTGTCGCATGTCCCACAACTTTCGTGCTCATAGGGCTTGGTGTGGGCCCTAGAGGCTTGTCTGCATGTCCCCTCCCTTCGTGCTCGTGGGGTTAGACCTCCCCTTAAACGAGGGTCGTTTAGAGAGCGTCCCATAGACGTTTTTCGGCTTTAGGCATGTTTGCTGTAAAGGCGTTTAGTTGCATCTGACTTTCGCTTTAATTTTTCGGGTTTTTTCTTCATCGGTTTCTTAGGCTTTCAACATGTTTTCCATAGTGGAGAGCCCGAAAGGCATGTAGAGTCATTTTTCGTCATGTTTTGGCACGAGCTATGTGGTCAAGTTCAAAGAGCTAAACCCGGACATTTTTCGCCGTGCTTTGGCGCGAGCTATTGGTCAAGTCCAAAGAGCTTGAGAGCTTGAAGAACTAGCTTGCGCCAAGACATGGCGAAAAATGTCCGGGTTTTCTAAGTAAATCCGCCGAGGCCTCGGGCCGAAGGTGTATAGGTTGTGAGAACAGGCAGCCCTCTCGAAATCCTGCCCCCGAAGCCACCTGGGCCTTTTCTTGCCTGGATGGGTACCCCCCCTAGGCAACCACGATCTGAAAGCGGACGGTTCGCCAGGGCAGGTCCCCCCTCCCCCACACCCCCCTTGCCCCCCCACCCCCCCCCCCTTCCTTTTACGAATTCATCCAAGCCAAACCCCAAACCGTAAACCTTGAGCCCTAGGCCCTCAACCCTAAACCCTACACCCAACCCTTTTTGCTTGAGGTCCAGCGACTTGCGGAGTCACCCTGCTCACGCAGATGCGCTGGGCCGGGCCGAGGCGGGTCGTGTAGCGATAAAATTAATTGAGCTCTTTGAAATTGACCAGATAGCTCGCGCCACAATTTACTTTTAAACCCGGACAGCTATTTGGTCGGTCAGCCGCGGATTCGGAAACTGGAAACGCGCGGATTCGGAAACTGGAAAACCCTGATTCTGGAAACTGGAAAACGCGGATTCGGAAACTGAAAACGCGGATTCGGGAAACCAGGATTCGAGAAACCAGCTGATTCAGGAAACTGGAAAACGCGGATTCGGAAACCAGCTGATTCAGGAAACTGGAAAACGCGGATTCGGAAACTGGAAACCGCTGATTCAGGAAACTGAAAAACGCGGATTCGGAAACCAGCTGATTCAGGAAACTGGAAAACGCGGATTCGGAAACCAGCTGATTCAGGAAACTGGAAAACGCGGATTCGGAAACTGGAAACCGCTGATTCAGGAAACTGGAAAACGCGGATTCGGAAACCAGCTGATTCAGGAAACTGGAAAACGCGGATTCGCAAACCAGCTGATTCAGGCAACTGGAAAACGCGGATGCGGAAACCAGCTGATTCAGGAAACTGGAAAACGAGATTC